ATCGGGTTGTAAGTCCAGTCGAAGCGAATTTATACCAACGATTTTACAAATACAGGACAGAGTGTCACAGTGTTAATCTGAAATACAAGCATTGTAGTGTATTAGTAACTGACAGTTTGCATGTTGATAAACAGTAAAGAATTTAGTTATAGCGGGAGGGAGAGGAAAGAAACTCACAATTGGCCGTTCTCTCGAAGTTAAGTCTCCAACATTTTATATATTTACTAAATTATTCCTCGAAAAAGATGTCATTAATGGTCCCGCTGAGTAAATGGCCGGGCAGCGTTGCATGCCTAAAGACGACTTAGCAGTACGCTGTCGGTAGCAGGTCTATCTCATTAGACAAATCATAGACGCGCGTGTCATACACACCGCAATGAACATCTTTCATTACATTGTGCATATCAGTTATCAGTAAAGAATGAGTTGAATTCTTCGGGAATTTTTACGAGTGACGACAACGTAATCATATGGTTTCATTTTTCGTTTTTTGCTATGTTGAACTTTCTAAATGGACGTTTTTAGGAGCCCCTGATGGCACCTGATATTACCGTGAAACTTGTAATCCGAATCCCCGCTGTTTTGGGTTTAGGCCCCTCGAAAAACGAAGTAATAATCCTTTCTAGTTTAGAAATTACCAAGTTGACACAATTCTCAATATTAAACTGCATTCATTTGTCCCGCAGAACACCTTCTCTAATTTTAGTTGTGATAATAGGCTATCTCATAGTTGGGTCAAGTAATTATAAGTGTGAAACCTTTAATGTGAAACGATTTTATATTCTCATGCAAATATCACTCATTTTCACAAGAAAGGTTTTTCCCTTGGCATTACTTCGAAATTGAGGGTTGTTAAAACTCGGCTTTTTGTAATTCAATGACTAGTGTAACCATATCCTATAGGTGGTGTTTCATTGGACCAAAGTGTAATTAAGCCGATTTCCTCAATTACATCTAGATGCACCTGCGGTCTCTTGAAACATATCAACTGGAGCGCTCAGTCTGTGATAAGGTGAAGCTTAGCACGACTGATTGAGAGCATAAAAACGCACCTTTGAAAAATTGGCTCGTCAGATTGCATTTAAATGTGACAGCTCTGTGACTTTTTAAGATTTACTAAGATTCATAATACACTCGGACTACTTACACTCACATTTGCTTGAGAAGCTTTATAGGCGAGTTTGGAACACAAATTTTTTATTGGTGGAGTTGGTAAGATTAATTTTGAAAATCGTTATTGCTGATTTTGTTGGAGACCTAAAGTAAGTAATAAAATGAGTTTATGTTGTCACAGTTAATGCCAATACTGAGGTAATTAGGATACACAGCTGACATAGTTTAATTTATTGGTTTGCGTTATTGAACTTTGACTAGGAACAGTGAAAAAGTTAAAATGAAATGGAAGTGTTACTTTTTACTACCCTCTGTGTTGCTTAAGGATTTAAGCCAATTGCAAGACACATTTTGTCGTCTAAACAAATAATCGTTTACTCATCGAGGTAACAGTAGTATATATTACGAGCTGAACGAGAGCTTTAATTGTTATGGCAGATTAGAACATGGCATACTTGCTGTCTCGTGTTAACTTTCGCCTTTCTTTAAACTTTCTTAAAGTAAATAGTGTAAGTTAAGAGATTGATTTTTAATTATCACTGCGGCACACATCAATAGGGCAGTTGATATTTAAACGTACAAAAAAGCAAACTTTAAACAGCATACTGACTATGATGTCAGAATTCTGTCTGTAATGCATGGGAATAAAAGTGAATCTGATTTTACTGCTTTCCTTTATGCAACTGTTGAACTTGACAGGTTTATATACAGAATGCTTTGGTTTCGTCTTCGCCTCAAAATTGCAGCAGTTGTTTCACTTCTGGTGGTGCTTTACCAAAGGAAAGAAGTAGAATGCCAGACTACAGGTAAATCTAGTAATTAATTAACAGTGTGGAATACCGAAGAGTGAAAACAAATTCTCCAGTCCTCCAGAAGGTATCGATATATTTCATAGTGCCGAGTATGCGGTAATTAGCCGGACTTAAAGTACGTATTTTAAGTCTCCGAATTGGTAAGCCAACGAAAATCTCCATCTAAAGGACCACACATTTCAGTTCTCGGTTTTAAATAATTGCAATCTATGGTAAGCTTAGTTTAATCTTTTCACAGTAAAAAGAAATCAAAATTTATTTCGGTTTCTTTTTTGCAGAGATCTATATAAATCTAGAGTAATCATGAAAATCATTAAAGCTCAGTCGTTAACAAGATTCTCCACAATGACGCACTGTCTGCTCGCCTCCCTGTCACTACAGCTTGCAATCCTTGTTGACGTTTGTTATTCTAATTTTGCTATATTCACTGTTTCTCCTATACATTTCTGACAGCATTTTCCTTTAAATCTTTTTTCAGCTAAATGAATTGCGAGAAAAATTAGCTCACAAATTTTTGCTAGAGCGTTCAATCCTGGAAATAAGTGTTTCAAATCGACTGACAGAGTAATAGTCGCAGCGCTCGGCTACAAAACTGAAACTGTCGTCCGAGCTTTCTCATCCAATGGCGCACACGATAAAAGTTTAGAAATGACCTGTTATAATTACATTTCATTTTTGTTAAATTTCTTTTTGAAAAAAAAAATTGAGAAGGACCACAGCAAGCACCACAATAAGTGATTTCTGAAGAGATGCACCTGGTTGTACCACATTCTCTACTGACAGACTGACACGGCTCAGCAGACAGCTTGTACTAAAATGAACACACATCGAAATATGCCCATTAATCGGCGAACGCAAAATAACGCTGCGATCCCTATCATGTAGTTCCCTTTGGGAGGCCATCTTTATGTCAGCGCTACAATAGATTGACCTGCAGAAAAAAATATTTTTGAATCGAATGAGTCCCGGGTAGATTTGTTATTCTTCCAATTTGCACAGGTGATTTTATTTCGAAAAACCTGACTTTGGATCCACATTGATTTATTTTGCTCTAGACATCCCTCACAACACTCCTCGTACTTTTGGGCTTTCATACGAACTGACGTTTTTTAAACATGAAATGCTATTATTTAATGTCATGCCCAGTATCATTTAGCCACATTAAATAAACACACCTCCGTAGAAGAAATCAAAATGCTTCATACTGCACTTGGCTGCATCTGGTGTAGTTTTGAATTTCTCCTTCATTTTATAACCAGCGCCTGTGTTTAATGCTAAATCACTGATATACAATAATTCTTGACTTAATTTTTTGACTTAATTTCCTCACTGTTCAGGCCAGGCTCCTACGCTTGTGTCTACTTCCCTGCCCCTGCCTCCATCAACTACTTCTTATGGACGGACCCCTGGACCACCATCCTCATCAGGTAGACACCCTCCTGGTGGAATACTACCAACTGATGGGCAGACTCCTTCGCCTTCAACCGGTGGACAAGCACCTGGTGGGGTCCAAACTCCTGGTATTCAATCACCCGCTGATAGTCAGACGCCATTGCCAGATCTTTCGGGGGGTCATCCTCCATCACCAATTCCAACTGGCCAACCTCCTGCACCACCATCGGGAGGGTTTCCTCCAGGTGGCCATCCTCCATTTACGTTTTCCACTGATGGGCAGAATCTTGGTCCTCCATCGGGAGAATTCCCTCCAGGAAACCATCCTTTAACTGGCCAACCTCCAGCACCTCCATGGGGAGGGCTACCTCCAGGTGTCTCTCCTCCAGCACCCATTACTGACGTTCAGCCTCCATCACCAATGCCGACTGATGCTCAGTCTCCGGGACCTCCATCTGGAGGATTGCCTCCAGGAGGCCAGCCTCCATCGCCGATTCCAACAGATGCCCAGCTGCCATCACCAATTCCAACTGATGGCCAGCCGCCTGGGCCTCCAAGCTTCACCTCTGGTGGAGGAGCAGCTACTTCTAGCCCTACCGGCTTAGTTACGACAGATAGTTTTCCGAGTGGACCAGATCCTGATTCTTTCCTTATCAGTTCGTTGAGGCGGAAATGCAGCCCAGACGAGGCTCCAACAGATGGTAAACAATCATATACGCGATGATTCAATTCAATTCAATTCTTTATTCACACTATATAAGATATTTACATAAGTGTACATAGTAGGAAAATAAAGTAGCTACAAATAATAATTAACTAAAAGATATTAAGTTCATTTGTGTGCGGTGTCCAAAGTAGCAAGAGCTTTCTTGTTGGACACCGTCATATTGAAATAATTGGCAGCAGTAAAGAGAGGAATAAAATCTCAAATAATATCAGTGATAGAACACATAAGCAAGGTCAGATTTGGTTGGTTAGAAGACAGGACTTCCATTCTTTCTTAAACTTATGATATGGTAGACACTTGAGACCAGGCGGTACAGTCTCCCAGATTTTTGGAGCGGAGAATTTAAAGGACGTCTTACCTAAGTTGGTGGATACTCTTGGCATCGCCATACTATCAATCATTATAGTCTATACAATAGCATTTAAGTCAATCTCAAACGGATTAGTTTCTAGAAACACTGGGGCATTTCAAAGGGTTTCGCCACACCACAAACCTTGCGCCACTCAACGCACCTTGCAATTCGGCAATATAAGCGCCCCCTTTCTCGCGGGGGGAATTACTCCGGATTTCTAGTGACGGGTATGATCGATTCCGGGATTTTTATTGGTGGCTTGATATAAGTAGGGATTTTTTGGCTATTCTGTCGATATAATCTGAAGATTCGTGGTTCTTCCCGCGTATCCCGGCCGCATAGTTCTGCGTTTAAAGTTCAGCCAAACTTGTTTTCCTTTCTGGAGATTTTAAGGCTCAGAAATCTGGCGTGGGATTTTTTGGGGGTTCAATCTTGGTCCAGGGATTTTTTGGGGTTTGCTGGAGGCCCTAAGGATTTTTGGGGTTTTGATATTTGGTCCCATTCAGTCATCCCTGTCACTTGAAATCCAGATTACCCCCCCCCCCCCCTCCCCCTGAGCTCTCTGGGCCCCCTTGATCATGAAAGGTATACTTAAATATTTGTTATAATTTTACATTTAGATCAGATAGGGCCCCAGTGGGATAGCAATATCCGCGATTTTATACAACGCGAGTTCATGAGACACAATTCCTTCCCAAAGTACAGTTGCAGAAATCGTTGTGGAAAAGACGAACGAGACGCATCTACTGCAGCGTTTTTTCGTCGTTTATCTAGATGTTACTGCGATAAATTATGCGATGAATTTGGGGACTGCTGTTATGACTTTAATGCTATGTAAGTTTTTTTATCCAGTCTTATGTTGTACTTTACTTTTGTACTGTTACTTTATAAATTGATATCCATGATGATGTGATTTCTCACAAACTGCTTACATTGTGTCGCGAAAGACTTGCTTTCCATGTTACAGGGACAAATAAACAGAAACAATTTTATTTGTATTTCTTGAATTTAGTCTCATAGAAAGAAAGGAAAAAAAAAATATTGTCAGATCTGAGACGTTACTGATTAAAACTGACGATCGAGCCTGAGTAGTAAACAATTATAGTTTATCAGTTGTTAAAATCTCACCTTTTTAAAGTTGCAGAAAAGTTGTAAATCCTCAGAGAAGCCCACTGAGCTCATCTGAAAACTGCTTTGCTCGACCAAACCACCCTACAGGGGCAATATATCATGGCTACGCAGTGTGGAGTAGGTGTCCAGAAAACTGGAAAGAAAGCAGGGTGAGACAAAAATGCCAGCATGAAGATCAAAGCGATCTTTTGAATAATCTGCCCGTGTTTCACGAAGACAGTCATGTAACCTACAGAAATATCTTTTGTGCACAATGTAATGGCGCTACAAATATGACGTACTGGAGACTGGAATTTCAATGCTACACATGGTTTAACACCACGGCTTCTAATTTAAGTACTACCATGAACTTTCTGCGACAGGAATGCTCAGTCATAACAAGTCCAGAGGAGTTTCAACTGAGGCATTTGAAACTGTGCATTCCTCGTTTTCGAGAATGTGCGAGTGTTAGCCAGGCAAAGAACGATTCGTACTGTCAAACAGACTGCCTAAGGTACGCTTTCCCAACTTGTGTCAAGGATTCACGATTCAGAAACCCTCAGTGTGCTCTGTGCAGTGGATTTGAACCAAGGTCTCTTGAAATGGAATGTGCTTCGGGAAGCGCACCAGTGACACCTCCTCTCTCAGTGCTTTTCGATTTTTCCTCCTCCTCAATGTTTAGTGTTGTAGTGGATGACAGAGAGCATAATATGCGTCATTCCTTTGAAGATGTCTGGTCATGCACCCACGATGAAGTATACGATCCATATACTGCAAAATGCAGGAAAATCGTCTCAGTTGGTGCGGACCATGAAAATCACACACTCAACAATGCGGTGCTCAATTTAAACTGCACTTTTGTTTATTTCAACAAAAGTGACTACGAAAGGCAGCCCAATGGCAGCGTTTACATCAGACCTCACAATAAGATCTACAGCAACTCATCTTACAAGGTACAGGGTGATCGGCTGCTTTTGTGTGTAAACTTTTCAAGGAATGCTACAGTTAACAAAAAAGAACGGAACGTTCAAGAAATCAAAACAACGCCAGCATCCTTGAGCATTTTAACAACGATCGGCTTCAGTATATCAATGTTGTCACTTGTGATTCTGCTGTTAACGTACGTAGTGTTTTCCGAGCTGCGCAACTTACCTGGAAAAATCATAATAAACTTGGCCATATCTTTGCTTCTCTATCAAAGCCTCTTTTTCCTAGCGAACAAAACTTCTAATGACGTGCAATGCCTTGTCGCTGCAATTCTTCTTCACTTTCTGACTTTGTGCTCTTTTACCTGGATGAACGTTATGGCTTATGATGTGCATCGAATTTTCACCGCTTCTGGTAAGTTTTCCTATACTTATTACAGTAGTGTAATCAAAATAATCATCCCTACCGGAATTTAAGTAATTGTCACTCATATGTACCAAAGATTTCTATTCAGTGTATAGCTGCACTTAACCTCAGATCAGTCTTAAAACGCACGCCTAAATTCTTAGTAGAATTCTTAGCATTATAACGTGATTCCTGAACAAACAGATTTTCTGGAAAAGGCTCTCAATGACTAAATTTTGATTGAGTGTTTTACTTGCTTTATGCTTCATAAGCACCAGCGCCCAGCATATACATAATGTTGATTTTTTAGACCTTTTAACAAGTTTTATCCGCTTCTCATGCAGATGGAGTTGCCTCAAATCACCACGCTGACAACAACAAACGTCTTGTAAAATATTGCTTATATGCCTGGCTTGCTCCGGCACTCGTCGTCTCCATGACTGTGCTAATTGATCGTCGTCTTAATAAAGGATATTTTGGTTATGGTAAGTGAACTCAAAAAAATATTGTGTTATACGTGGATGTATGCGACTTAGAAACGTGGTTAAACAGGCCTTAAAGTTTTTCAAAGTTTCACACACATTAAAAGCTCCAATTCCTTATCTACTCTGGTCATTTGTTCTTAAATTGAAGTTGAGCAAGTTCGAAAATAAAAATAACGGCTGAAAATAATGAAGGAAGCTTTGAATAACACGACAGTAATTATAAAATATAGCACCAATAGGCAAAACTGAAGAAAACTGGGTCAAAACGGATTGAAATTGATTTTCAAACTGTTGAGCTTCAGTAACTTCAGAAGGAAGGTCAAAGACATGCAAAACATAGCTAATATAATTATATACCCTGATTTTTTTAACAGGGCAAGGGGAAGCAGCGTGTTTCATATCGAGGCGTCAGGCCATTCTTTACGCGTTTGTTCTGCCCGTTGCTCTACTGATGCTTTTCAATATATTTGCTTTGGGACACACCATAGTGCACATTGTTAAGACGAGGAAGGTAATGCAATCATTGAAATATTTTTGATTTCCCTTTACCAGAGGAACAATAACACATTTATCGCTTTTTAATTTATTATCTATAAGCCAACCAATTGTTGAAGAGTATAGTACAGGAGGTCTATGTATAGTGAGTGATTATGAACTGATCTTCAGATTTCGACTGTCCGCCCTTATTGCGTTGAGCCACTCTTTGGCTGATTATAAAGTTTCTCTAGGTACTTATAATTGTCGAAAAACCTTCAGGGATGTAGCTAAGAGTTTTCAAAGGGGATTCGCCATGTGTCACTCTTAGGGTACTCGCTAGATTGGAATGTCGATATCGACGCCGTGTTTAACTAAAGTGATAAGTAGTTAGCGTTTAGAAAGGGACACGAGCACCCCAGGACGCCCCTCTATACCTACGCCCCTGACGTCAGTGTCAGAATGGTTTCAGTTTCCTATCAATGCATTACTCTCAAGGAAATTTCTTAATATTGAATTGGGAGTGTCTGTAAAAAGTTAGCTTACCACTTGGAACTCTTGGCTTCAGTTGCTATGGTGAGTCCGCCACGTCATAATTTACGTTTACAGAGAAGTGGTTTCTGGAATGAGTAGCAGTTATTGACAGGAGCATATCAAATGGAGCCTCCATCTCCCATACAAGCCCTTGGAGTCAACCCTTTCCCGAGTAGATTTATAATTAGAACGGTTCCCAGGGGAGACTTCGCGCGCCGACGGTGGGAAGAGCCAATCACAACGACTAAATGACACTGCTATTGTACTTCATGAAACAGCAGGAAATCCGGTGCTGACAAGCCAAACAAAATCATAAGCTAGTGAAACGTGACTTTAGCGTTTTCATCCCTCAGAGATTTTCTTTCTTTTCTTTCTAGCGGGTAGATTATACTGTGGAGAGTTTTAAACTCAGACTATGTTAATCTTAATTTTGGTTGCTTGTCTCACATTAAGCTGGTCTGTTACATGCGTAAGGATTATTAAACTGCTACCTGCAGTCTGTAGTTCTGACAGGATTCGTTTTCTTTAGCCAATTTTTTTGAGCGGTAAGGTTCTTATTTCGGCTAAATGACTCAATATTAATCAAATTTCTAGTTTTTCAAGTTTTTATCCGAAATGCGTTTGTCTGAATAAATACTGTGGTTGTTTTGTCCGTCAGTTAGTGTGATGATTCCCTGCTATGTTTTGTAACGCCGAGCCCAGCCATTGTTTTCTCGCAAAAAAGTGATCTACAGATGCGAATTCGAAGGAAAGAATTGGCCTAAACTTCTACATTAATGGCTGAGAATTCTCCTGTTGGTCAGTCATAATTCTTTGGGCGCAGATACAATCCATTTTGTTTTTCTTGAGATAAGAGTGTCTTTGGATTGGAGCGCGATGTCACAAATTCCACCGTTAGCAAATTTCTTTTGAGTTAGCTTCACGGTCGAGCAACTGTTGTCTTCTGTTCAACTTTTCAAGTGCCAGTTTTATCAGGCAACTCTCATGGCGATACAAGTCAGTTGTAAAGGAAGACTGCAATTTTTCTGAAGTATTCCTCCTTACTTGCTACTTAGGTCATCGCTTTTGCACACGGTGCTTAACTGGCGAAATCCACTCCACGGCGATGACAAAAATAAATGATCCTGGCACTTTTTCGGCGCTGATCATCGAAAAGTTTCAAATCGTCCACAGAACGCTTAATCGTCGACTCTTTTCAAGGTGCATGCTTAAATGTGGGATGTATGACGGCAAAAAAAAAAACAACAACAACAAAAACAAACACTCGCAAAGAACCTTTCCGTGATCCTCAGTTCGCTGCCTTTGTCCCATCGCTTCATGCTCAGTCTCAGTCGGGTAATTCATTAACTTTTATTTCATCCCAGATCCCAGCGGCTGTAAAACTGTAAAAATGGTCGTATAGTAAAAAAGGAAAACGGTCGAAGGACGGGCTTCTGAGTTAGACTTCATCCAACTTCATTTTTTTCACGGTGACATACGAGACTCACGGAAATATGACACTTTTCGCGGGAAACAAGCCGTTCTATTTATAAATCTACTCGGGAAAGGGTTGACTCAAGAAATTAATGGAGATGGAGGCTCCATTTGATGGGCTCCTGTTATTGATCAATGTTTCCTGTTCTCCAGAGAACGACACAAGTTACAAACCAGCGGCATAGCACAAGTTTAACACTGATTTGTGTCAAAATGGCGTCGGTCATGGGTGTGACGTGGATTCTTGGTATTGCGGCAAACGTCCACGCGTTATCTTTCTTGTGGTACCCGTATGTGGTTTTGAACAGCCTTCAAGGTAACTTTAAGGTGACTCGACGCAGTTTTTTTTGGGGGGGTACCATCCTACTTTGAGGCTCTCTGGTATCCCCACCTTTACTTTTATCGTAAGTCTAACACATAGAATGGATAACATATAGATCAATCTACAATATAACATAAAATTTTTGGCGATCGGAGTAAAAGTCAGGTGATTATAATGCCACCCCCCTTTGAGGTCTGAGTCGAAAATCTGCTGTTGCCGGCATTTTTTCGTGAAAATCTCTCGGCTACACATAGTGCGCATTAGTGCCTTGCGCTGAACAGAGTTTCACCAAAATCGCAAAGACCCAATTCGAGAAATTCAGCGGTTTCCAAATTTAGGTCATAATTTATGCGAAAACGATAAGCAAACTTCACACGGATTATATCTAATAAACTATGAGATTCATCTCTTTATTTTGGGCATCGTTATAACAGATGGGTCCTTACAAGTCAGCAAAACGCTTTAGGGCCTTGCAAATGCGCGCGATTTCGAGCAAAGCAAACATATAGAAATTATAGTTTTCGCTATTTGTTGACGTTTGTCAGCGTTTAAGAGTCCTTCTCACGAAAAAAGCATTTTCTTAAAAATTCGTAGTTTTTTTTCCCGCAAATTTTTTCAGGGCCACAATTGATTAACTAACTACCCGGACTCTGAATTTCATGGTCATTGAAAAACTGTGACATTATCTTCTATAAGCCCAAACTTGTGTAAACATTGAAGATTTTTAGCTTTTTGGCTGAGTTTGTGCTTTGGGAGTTGTCTATTGTTTCTAGTCTGGTATTCTTGTTCAGCACGCGTGCAATGACCACGCTTGGCTGACTTCCGAATGCTCACCGAGATACGATAATTTTGGTACAGTGAGACGGGCCATCGCGTGATACATAGAGGTTTAATTCACAATTTTTAATCAATTCTCGTGCTTCTTGTGCCTTTGCAAAAAAATCAAGAAGTGCTACACACTAAATCTACTTACTATTACAAAAATATCATTTTTTCATAGGTTTAATGCAAGCCAACAATTAAACCAACTCGTGACGGGGATATCTCGGTGAGCATTCGGAAGTCAGCCAAGCGTGGTCATTGCAAGCGTGCTGAACAAGAATGCTGTATAATGACAGACTAGAAACGATAGACAACTCCCAAAGCACAAACTCAGCCAAAACGCTAAAAATCTTCAATGTTTACACAAGTTTGGGCTTATAGAAGATAATGTCACAGTTTTTCAATGACCATGAAATTCAGAGTCCGGGTAGTTAGTTAATCAATTGTGGCCCTGAAAAAATTTGAAGGAAAAAAAACTACGAATTTTTAAGAAAATGCTTTTTTCGTGAGAAGGACTCTTAAACGCTGACAAACGTCAACAAATAGCGAAAACTATAATTTCTATATGTTTGCTTTGCTCGAAATCGCGCGCATTTGCAAGGCCCTAAAGCGTTTTGCTGACTTGTAAGGACCCATCTGTTATAACGATGCCCAAAATAAAGAGATGAATCTCATAGTTTATTAGATATAATCCGTGTAAAGTTTGCTTATCATTTTCGCATAAATTATGACCTAAATTTGGAAACCGCTGAATTTCTCGAATTGGGTCTTTGCGATTTTGGTGAAACTCTGTTCAGCGCAAGGCACTAATGCACACTATGTGTAGCCGAGAGATTTTCACGAAAAAATGCCGGCAACAGCAGATTTTCGACTCAGACTTCAAAGGGGCGTGGCATTATAACCACGTGACATTTACTCCGATCGCCAAAAATTTTATGTTATATTGTAGATTGATCTATATGTTATCCATTTTATGTGTTAGACTTACGATAAAAGTAAAGGTGGGGATACCAGAGAGTCTCAAACTAGGATGGTACCCCCTCCCCAAAAAAAAAACTGCGTCGAGTCACCTGAAACGTTTTGACTTTTCACTCAAGTGGAAGAAACTGTTACCGACTTTAAGAAATCAGTTAAAAAGATGTACTTAATATCTTGTTCAAACTAATCAGTTTCTCGAATGTTAAAATCTTGTAGCCGTCAGAACCCAATAGGTTCTACGGATTTTCTCCCCCCCCCCCCAAAAAAAAAAATGAAACGCGTTTCTAGGGAATAAGTATAAATGTTAATTCTAAGTAAAATCTAAGATGGCAGTCATGATGGGGGCCATTTTGAAAGTCCCCAAAGCACCATATTTTCTCAAAAATATTATCTAGCTGAGAGCTCCTCGAAGCCGCCCACGATCTATTATAAGTTTTAAATTTTTGTTAATAGAGAGGTTAAGCTTCAGGTTTACGTCAAAGGGCAAACGCGAATTTGTACCATGTGACAAAGTTTCTCATTTACTTGTCGTTTTAGTCAGAACACAAATTAGTAGTTTCACGCAATTTTTTATCCTTTAGAATTGTTTTGAGCAGTTTTTATCTGCTCATTTTTTTATTTTGAGAAATTCCCAACTTGACTGACGAGGGTAAATTCACATTCACTGACTCTGTTCTTCGGATTTTATGTTACAGGTTTTTTCATTTTCCTTTCCTTTGCTGCCAGTGGGAAGGCGCTGGAACTGTACAGAAATAAACTGACCATATTAAAGTATATCAAAGGACAAGATGGAATGAAAAGTAAATCTGTCTCCAACAGCACCTTACAGTCTGTATGCGCATCTGACTCGAAACATAGACCGGATCGAAGTGAAAATGATACACGCTTGTAAATTCGCGTTCGCTTGTGATTGTTTTAGGCTGTGTATGCATGAAGTCAATGTGGCACTTGGACAATGTTTTACGTAGCACGCAAAGTACTAAGGCTCTGCCGGCGGTTTAATACTAAACATGGCATACTGTTGTAAATAGCACAAATAAAAACGCTTGTGGTTATTCTAAATTTGAATAGTAGGGACGCGATCTCTCAGTCTCACGAGTTAATAACCGACTTTTGATTACGTAAATCTGGGCAACTGCAGATGTTACAGTTATCTGTGCATTTACTATGTTAGGTTAAAGAGGCTGAGATAGCATTGGATGGAACCATAAAGTAAAGTTGAAATCTCCAAGTTTGTTATGTATTTTGTTTTGTTTTGCTTTGACCTTGTGACTTGAGCAATCGGAAAACGTTTTCCATTACAATCAAATCTGAGAGACTTGAATTATTTTTGCCGCGAGGAAAGGGTGTTAAGGAAAGATAGTCGCTCTTGGGTTCAACTCAACTGCGCATCCCTGAATCCAGATAGGTGTTGTAGCTAGTCTCCTTAGAGTAAGGGTCAATCGCTTTTTATATCTTGTGCAAGTTATAGAATTCAGCATTAAATAAGATAAATAAATATTTAGCACTTCCACATTAATGGTTTTTCACCTACCTAATTACTGGTCGAATTGGAAGTTGGAAATGTTGGTTTTGAGGAGAGGGGAAAAGCGTAGTACCCGAAAAAAAACCTCTTTGAGCAAAGGAGAGAACCAACAACAAACAAACCCACATAATTCTGGCGTCGAGGCCGGGAATTTGAATCTGGGCTATATTGGTGGGCAACCAGTGCTCTCATCACTGCGCCACCCTTTCACCCTATGTAAGGGAATCCAAGACAGTCTTGGATCCTGGATTCTAATTTAAGGTAACTAAGACTGATTTAGGAGTAACAATTATCGGTTACTTGAAAAAGAGAGATTAAGGAACTGTCCAAAAACTTATTGGCTAGAATTGCAGATGTACTGTTTATAAACGAAACGAGGTTGGATCGAGATTGCAACCACGTAGAAGCAGCCGCAGTAGGTAACAATAGCAAGATACGAACAGGAACATCACTTTCTCGTTAATAGACCGTTTCCCTCAAACGACTACAAATTCTCAATGAGGGGGGGGGGGGGAGGAAGAAATTCTGCGCAGTTCCCCCAATCCCAGCGGAAAGGCATGAACATCCTAGGGGGTCCATCAGTCAAGTTTGTAATCTCCGCTTATGATTTTATGGGTTGTTCAACGGTGAACGATGCGAAAACTAATAAAAGCAGGAACCGATCTGGGATAAATGGTGACCGATTCCTAACCAAGCGCCGAAGGCGCAAGCTTCTAAGGGGAAGGGGGGAGGGTGTGGGGGTATGCAACTTGGGGTAATTTTGATGGTATTTTAAAGTCCGAGTTATTCAGACAGGGTACTGGCCAGATTTTAACTCGGAAAGTTCTCTTCATTAAAAATGTATACTTATGAAACATATAACCCTTTTTTTGGTAAAACGGTGGGGTCTCCAGAACGGGTTATTAAAGAAAATGTACTGGTTGCTTTTGAACAACTGAACAAGTCATGCATAAATAGACGGAAAAGAGATTATTGAGCTGCAATAATTATGATGGGTGTTTGAGATTTTATGTTAAATAATTACACAATACTTACTCATAAGATCAAAGTCAAACAACTTTATGAATTCGAGGTTCATTTATAGTGCTTACAACACTTTTCATGTGAAGTTGACATGATAATTTAATCACAGTTTTAAATAATAATTTCACTTTAAAATTTTTCTGATCAAGATATATAGTTCTTTTATATTTAAGTGTTCGATCCAGGGTGATGTCCATCGCATGTCGTGCGTATGTGGCTCGCCAAATCTAGTAACCTGTTGAATAAATAAAAAATTCGTTAACTATTTGATGCAGGATGTCTGAGAAAGCAACATAATTTTAAATTTGTAGCAGTTAAGTGCTTCATTGATAGTTTGGAATTCTCCTCAGCACTTTCCTTGTCAAATCTTTTCAGAACGGAGGGTTGAAAATTCTGAAAGCTTTTCCGGTGGTGGTATTTCCCTTTGTATGCATAACCTATTCAGCACTTTCAAATTCAAACTCAAATTTCGCAGACAAGAACAATGATACTTCCCGTTTGAAAAATTTCAGAATCAATTTCATCTTTAATGTAATAATTGCTTGAATTAGGGCAAAGAGCACATATATATACGGCTGGATGAGGACGCCTTGCATAAGGATCTGAACATGATTTCGGTTGTTCACTGGATTACTAAAAACTGCTTAAAGGGTCCGCGTCAAAGGGCCTTGAGGTAATCCATATACTGCCACTGAAATCAGTGTTATCAAAATGATTAATTGGATTGGTTGAGGGTGAGAGGCAAGAGAAAGGGCAGCTTCAAACTGTTTGCCTGGGCTGATCAACCCCACTCGTAAAATATCCGTTGGCCTCTGAAAGAAGATAATCTTTCTTAACTGTCCCTATTTTGATAGGCCTAATCACGCTCAAGGAGTAGAAACTACAAGGCACAATGGTATCAACTAACCAGAAACTTCCACTCTAAGACAGTTCCAGTTTTGCTGTCTGGTCGGATTAAAGCGAAGGTATCTTGCTGTAATTGCCACTGGTAGCTTGTGGACAGTTACCATGGAACTGTTAGCCACAGCTGCTCTGTGAAATTCCTATACGTGTGAAATGAGAGGATGAGAAATTTTCGCAGTCTGAGTCACTGACTGGACACCACTTTGGATTGAGAATTATTTTTACTCTTAATATTATATACTACGCATGCTAGTGGAAAATATTTGACAGTTAGAGGAATGTATTCGAAGCAAACCGTGTCACTTAACCGTCACTGAACAGTGACGATTATATTGAAATTAATAATCTTGAAGATCGGGGATGCCACTTTTTACAACGTCTATTTATAAAGGTTAATGTTTTCGGGGCAGCCGTGGCCTTGATTAAAAAAACGGTCTGAGGCAAACAATACAGGCAACTAAAGCTACAAAATTTCCGAAGGCGTCAGATATTTTCAGTAAATTCTTAAAGCAATACGCGAACTTAGGACATTACATAAGATAAATTTTGTTGATTTTTCTCCATTGATGCTATAACCACGTCATTCACCCGCCATCTGCATTCGCAAAAGAATTGTCTTCAAGTTCACTTGGCTCGACTTTAAAACCCAGAAGAAATTTAAAAAATGAACCGTTATGGAAAATTTTAAGGGAGAAAGAAGGTGTATTGAGTTGAGGGAGATGTGCACATGGCGAATACTGCTATTGACGGGAAGAAAATTTGCATTTCGATATAAGGAGTCAAAAATGTTTAGATTAAAGAATCTCACCACTTGAGCTCCATTTGCATTCATGTAATATCTCCATGAAATTCCATCTGTTGAGTATCGCAGCTTGAAGTCTGTAACCCATCTATTGCCATTAACTTCTCCCTGGGCGGACAGTGAACAGACTTTGACTGTTCTTCCAAGATCCACCTGTAGCCAGTCATGCGTGCTGCTAGATGTACCTGCGCACCATCCATTGCCTCGAACACCATTTAGTCGACCGTAACTGGGCTTTGTTAGATCGCTTTGTTGAGACGAAGCGGTCATTTTGCTGTCAGGGATGACCTGGGAACTAGAAACGCCGATTTTGGTTGCACCGCCACATTTGTTCCCTGGGGTCCCTGTGCAAAATTTAACAAGTAAAAAAGTTAATTACACTGACCCGAAGCTCAGTGTGTTAAATTCTATCAATTTAAAAACTAAATTTTGCGATGAACGATCATTACAGCACTTGAGTATAGTTTTTTTTTTTTTGAAAGACAAGGCCTACTCACCAATAACCAGCATGTTAATAGTCACCGGGTCATAGCCATTTTCATTTGTCAGTTCTTTAATACAAACACGGCAGTTGGTTGTATTGATTTGCTAAAAACAAAATAGAAAACGACAAAAGGTATAAGTATCACACGAGTTTCCATTTCCTTTTTTCCTGTCTTCTTAGAGGTTTTAACAGCTCATGTTAACTGAAGAATTTAATCAGTTTAACAAGCACGTATTTATGAATAGCTTTATGGGACACGACCACACGCCCACATTAAGTCTGTTGTAATTTTTTATCGTTTGTTTGCAAGTGCTATTATTCTGGGGCAAAATTGCATATAGATTGAGATACATTTAGCAAAAAGGCATTCGAAAATCTTTACAAAAGAATCTGATGACTTCAGCTCTGATTTCTAACTCGTTATTTGCAAAATATTACTGAAAGTAACAAAAACGACTGGTACATTGAGATACAATGTATTTTCTTCCTAATAGCAATTATTCCAGGGTTGACTAAAGTAAATTTTAACACAACGGATCTTACTAACCTCTATCCATGGTGCAATGCTGTTGTGGAGCGGATTGATTAGATTCGCTCCCGCTGCGTGTGCTGCTGATGCAATCACTGTTGGTGCTGAACTGTACGTTTTGGAAAAGCCAAAGGTCTGAAAAATAAGCAACTGATGTTCAGTCCAAAAAACGAGGGGAAATAGTTTTAAATAAATACAAAAAAGATCATCGCAGTTGAAGACGCAACTAGTTTCGTTGTTATAATCTACCTATGGGGTGACTTTGCACTTTATTAATCAAGTATTCTCAGTGAAGGCTTATCATCGGGAGAAACATTTGAACAGTCAATGGGTTAAAAAATGCTCTTCCACTTACAAGCCAGGACATCCCCGTGTAATTTAAGATGATGTCAAATATCACAGGCGTATCGAAGCCAACCAACTGTGCATTGTTACGATCTTACATCCGAGGAACGTTTAGATTTCACCTCATGGTGTGCTGTCTCGCACACACGCGCGACACCTTTTTTTTGTCTACAACTACAAAGTAAAACCACTGTGCACATCACAGTAAACAGTTCCATGATTTCATTTAATAATGGTGACTGGCCTTGTATTTGTCTGGGGTCAAACGTTCCAGTCAAAACATCGTTGCGAAGATTTAATTCTTGCAAAGAAAGTGGACTGTAAGTTTAATCAAGGGGACCAACCTGACAAAACGCCTTGTGATCGTCAGGACTGGGCAGTCTACTGTTTGGGAAATACAGATCAAGTTGCTGGGATAAGAGAGTCTCTGGTAGTTTTCGATAAGCAATCCAGTTCTGTAAAACACAAAATTGTTAAGAGGAAGATTAAGATTCGCGTGTACGCTAAGCGGTAGACGTGAATTTGTACCACGTGACCAAGTGTTCCCCTTATTTTCAGTTTGCTCTTTATTGCTTCTACACAAAAATAAGTAGGTTTATGTCAGATTTAACCATAGGAATCGTTCGGGGCTGTTTTTATCTGCTTATTTTCTATTCTGAGAAATTCTCAACATGAGTCTGACGTTAGCCGTTTGAGGTAAACGTAAATCTTAATCTCTCTAAGAACGAGTTAATGTCAGCGAGAAAATGAGAGTGGCCGATAACCTGACCTGACTAAGCGAAATCGATTACGTCTCACACAAGCTAAGCAACGTGCTCGATTACTTTTAGTGGCCAGGTAGCTCTAAAAAACCTCTATTTTCATTGGCTTTTGAAAACACTCCTCAGTATTGGTTTTAAGGAAGCGACATTGTTTGGGTCATTCATCCACTAATATGAAAATTTGAATTATAGTAATTTGTTGCCCCTTTACATTTCCTATAAAAGTAGTGGGGAGAAGTTATCAAGGTATCAGTATAATTTATCTCATGTGATCATGTTCTTAATTCTCATTACCACCTTGTTTCATATAGCATAGATATAGCAAGGAGTTCAACGCTGATCATTCTTTGGGCTTAAATTGGGGAATTATTTTTACTCTTTTGCAAACCTTTGACATTTGTTAAATTGTACACCACACTCCTCTCTGTTTCTTCGGCTACAAGGATCGAAAAGTGTATGGTCCTTAGCTTACCACTTTAATGTCTTTATGCTGTCCATCAAAGTTCTGCAGTTCCCTTAAGCACACTGTAAATGCGTTTGTCTTGATATTTTCAACCCAAACTGTGACAGCGTCGTGTTTTAAGAATGCCTTTGTGTGCTCTGCTGTAACCAATACGTATGGTGGGGCATCGAACGTTTTCTGGAATTATTCAAATTTGAATGCATTTAAAATTAGTAAATGAGAAATCTTTGTTTAGAAGTTCGAAACTTGAAAGAAATTCTTTTGCTTTCATTTGAACGAACAGCTCTGCATTACCGCATATGTAACAACAAAGTGATTTTTGGCTAAAGAGCAATCTACGCAATATATATTTTCTCTGATCGTTCGTTTTCACGTTTTAATCACATACTAAGGAAAACCTGTATGCTGTATAGCGGGAAAGTATTTGTTATTTCATTTATCGATTTTAGTTTAGAACTGCTTGTGATGAATTACTTTTGCATTGGACGAAAAGTTCCTAACTTTGTTCTCACACCAGTTTTCAGTAGCGATAAAAATCTGATTCACTTACTATGCTCATAATTGCTAACTTACTATCCAACAATGTCTCTTTTGCACTAATTTTAAAACTGAACGCTAATACCACATTTGCCATATACGCTTACCGATAAAGGAATCATCTGGCATTGAGTTCCTTCCCACCAATTTTTCATTGGAATGTTAGCAGCTATTGTGTCAACAGGTGCTTCCTGAAAGGCGATGTAGTCCACAAACGTAATTCCGCCATCTGGTGTCACGCGTTCTGCTCTCCCTGCCTTAAGTGCGCACACTTCAAAGGCAGTGATGTTAACATTTTCGACCCAGGTTACCGCGGCGTCGTGGACGAAGCTCCCGGTGTAATTGAAGTAGTTGATGGTTGTTTGTAAGTGAACTGATCCTCGGTTAGCGTCGAAACTCGCTTTGAATTCGACAAGTCTGCACTGGACATCGACTTTATCGAGACGAAGGGCAACACGACCTCGCTGAATGACGAATGCTGCAAAAGCCATCATGAGGAAAAAAATTCAGCGCACATTCTAACGTACTCCTACTTTATGAAAGCAGATAGTCTGCAAAACAGTCTGTATTTTTGCGCAGGTCAAGAACATCAAAGCGGTCGACTTAAAGTGCTTGAGCGATGGTAAAAACAAAGTGAAAGACTGTGTGAGGCCCTCGCACTTCGCGGGAATATCCCACGGGCGCGCCTTGACGAAAAAACCCGACCATTAATTTTGCAGTCTAAAAGCAGACGACTTTCAACAAGGCCAAAAAAAATTGCTATGCCGTAAAGCTATTTTAGTGCTAACTTACAGCAATCTCTGGTTTTATCTCCGCTCTAGTGCTTCTGGGAGCTTATACCACGATATGCTCTGGGCTCTGAAATTCGCGCCGCAATCTATAATTCTTGTCTCTTCAGCACTGCTAATTTAACTACACCTTAATATCTCAGTTTTTAGATCTCATTTCAGTTAGAAGCTGTTGTTTTTGAAGCCTAACTTGGATTACTTTCTTAATGCGCAGTTTTGTTGTGTTGTTTGTACATGCATTTTGCAAATTTGTATTCGATAAAATCCAATACTTACGTTTGCAGCCTCCGTAGTGTTTAATCCCGGGTTCTTCTTTATCCATACAGACTTTGTACTTGTATTTACAGATGCTTTGGTGGGTGACATCGTTGTTGTCGCAGAGTGGTTCTGATTCATTAAATTTGCAAGGTTGGCACGTGCAGTTGTATTTAGTTTCACTGATTGGTTGACATACTGCGTAATAGGGACATGTAACGCCAATGCATGGGTTATAATCTGAAAGAGAAAAATAATGGCTTGTGAAAAACCTCAAGTTAAAAGCTCCAATCAGAGTTGTATTGAGAGCGAGATTAAATGTTCAGATCAGCTTGTTAAGAAAGTTAAAGCTTCGGCTTCATTCAGTGGGAATCATTATGGTGACATTTAATATAAACTAACCGTGTATTTAGCATGGCAGTTGCTCCAAATTGCTAATGAAATGACTTTTTTAATTCATTTCCGAGTCTTTATTGAGCGTTACAATGCTATTATGTCACCTTTACAAGGTAGTCAAAATGTTTCAAGAACGCTTATAAAAGAGAAATGATGTCTCTGTCAGTGGACCTTTAGCTACCTTTTTGCATGCTGCATACTTACATCCCATGGCTAAGTAATTGACAGTGATTTGGTCGTGAGTTGCATCATATCTCTGGATGTCTTTCAGACAGACTTCAAAGTTCGTCTTGGATACACTCTGGTCAATACAAAAAGATTTATCAAGAAAAGCTACAAAAATATCACTACAACCTGCACTGTACTAACTTGAGATGATTCGTAGGATTTGGTCATCAGTTCAAATATTTTAAAATGTTGCAAGTTTTCCGAGTGAAAGTTGTGAATCAGTGAAAAAACAAGATGTTTATGCATGACGATATTGCAATGGAAGGTGAAACTACCAACATATATCCTTAAAATGTCATGGGAAAAAGAGATTCTAATATTAACTGAAACTTATAGAATTCCTTTCAGATGCAACCAATGGATGCCTTAAGAGAGCCAAGCAAACCAAATTCATCAAAATTCAAGCAGTTGGAACTTCCAAAACTGAGTAAAAGATAAATGTAGCCGCTCAAAGCGTTAAAAAAGGTAAAAGTAACAAAGTAAATACCAAACGCATAGATAGACAAACATGAAGCTTGAAACAGATTACAATTTCGATTTTTGACACTGAAACTTGCTAGCCTAAAAGTTTTTCAAACTTTATTTTTGTTGTTTGACAAGTTTGAAATAATACTTGGGAGACATTTGTTTGACACTAAGCTATGATTTTGTCATTCACAAGAAATTTCTCAGTTCCATAGCAACAAAGGACGTGTAATTAGCCCGCGAGCAAGCTCTCCAGGGCTCTCTGGCGGCGGGGTGGGAAAAAGAGGAGAGCTTGCAACGACGTCTCTGGAATTTGAATTCCACCTTCAATCCAATCCCCCTAGGCCTGTGGCTTCCCGTCTACTGAGCTGTCAGATTTCCGCCAATCAGCGCAAAGCGTAAACGAACGCGAATGTAAACAAACATTTAAAAACACTTGCCAAGGGTAATGACGTCATTACCAATGTCATCACCGCTAATCAGCATTTCGCATGGACTTTTTCGTTGCAGATATTCAAGTTCCAGAGACGTAGTTGCAAGCTCTCCTTCCTTTTCCTGCCCCACCGCCAGAGCGATCCGGAGAGCTTGCTTGCAGGCTAATCAAGACGTGTAATTGAAAATATCAACAAAATGAACTAGACGGCCCTGACACAGCCCCGTTAAGTTAGGTGATTTAAAACAACACGTCAGTTACATTCAACAAACTGGAATTAAAATTTCAACCTCTTACCTTGACATATTCCTGAACAGCGTTATTTTTAAGCTCAATAGTGGCATTGAAGTAGTCCGTATAATGCTCTGATGTTGTGATCATGGTTGGAGGATTATAATATTCATTCGGAAAGTCGACAGTCTAAAGAAAGAATAAATTGCTTCGTTAATCATTTAATATAGTCAGAAGGATACTTGTTTTAAACAGTGTGCGGTGTTTATGTATACCTTGGCCGCACATGTGCGCCTTGGAGACGAATTTTTTTTCTTCTTTCCTGTTTTAGCTGCATGATCGAGTATTGAATAATTAACATTTGAGTGGACGTACAATTATTCTGACTTCAGTTCACACGGGCTTCCGCGATTGGTACATGCGGCTAAAAGCATTTTCTCCGGTGCGATTGATGTCTTGGCAATACGAGTTTGCGCCGAGTTTGTCCTTATTGTGACGCAATTTCTGTCATGTCTGCAGTTAAACAAAGTTGGCAATGCACTTTTGACAGAAGATTTCCTGGACAAACAATCACGTTTTTTAGTTCTCTTCAGCTTATTCTGTAGTTGATAAGGCATCTTGTCGAACTTATGCTCAGAGACTGACAGATAGGGAGGAGAAGTCGTTACATCAAGTTGCCATGGTAGCAAAATTCCCGGATCTCAACATACCGTTGTCCGGCAAATCATGGCAGAAGAAAACGTAAAATTGACATTTATGACTCCCCTGTGCATGAATGCACTCATGAACAAAACAGTAGCCCATCCTTTTCTTCCATGGTTCGACAATGTAAATGGTCGTCTCTAACAAATCCAGAAATTGTCACCGTGGTAACCTGAGGTCACACTTCTCCATAGTGGAACTCACCTTGCAGTGACTGTATCCTTTCTCTTTTGGGAAGAGGTTGGTTCTGGGAAATATGACGTCAGAACTGTGGGGAATCTTCCAGCCAAAGGGTTTTTTAGCCAAAACTAAAACGTCCTGAAAATTAAATTTGATAGATTGAACTAAGTATAAAAATCATGAGAACATGGGAAGATCAACTGAACAATAACACAGCTGGAAATATTCTACTAGAACATTCGTCAATGTCAGAAGAGAGGGATAATGGTATTTCAAAGGCACCAAGGACCATGACAACTCATCAGGAAATGTCGGAAACCTCAGGCCTCGAGCTTTTGGAAGCAGTCATCATCCCGGGAAGTAAGGTAAGAAAAGGGTTGGAAAAATAAGCCGTTCCGTTGTGCTACTAAGATTCCGTATTGCATGGGTTGAGAGGGAGTTTAAGATGCCACGACGGCAACGACAACGAGATCATAAAAAAGGCAATGGATTGAATAGGCACAACAACAACTGTGTACATCATGCTTTTTTGTACATTTCTTTGCCGTCACTGCACGACGACGACGACTGGAAAAGACCTAATTTCACGTTTTATGGAGGACGTAAACAAGCGACGACTGAAGTTTCTTTCACTCTCTGAACTTGAATATGGTTCTTAGGAATTCGGCTCAAAAAGAGTTCGTTTGCATTTGACAAAGTAAATGAGTTGCAGTAATCGCGATAGAGATTGAAAGAATACAAATTCTAATTTTAAGTGACGTTTTCGTGGCCGTCGCCGTCGTGTTTTAAAACGCCCTAATGTAATGCAAGAAAGTATGACTGTAGATATTCATGTCTCACCACTTTAACGTGCCTGTGAACACCGTCAAAGTTTTTTAATTCCCGAAGACAAGCATCGTAAGACTTCCCATTGACGTTCTCTGCCCAAACAATCGCTGCATCGTGTCTATTTTGATCATTTTCCGCAGTGTGAAAAACGGTTAAAAACACATGTGGTGGCGTTGCATAATACTGAAAATAAAAGAAATCTAAATTACGGTGGAAATGTAGGTTGCCCGTGGGGTACGCAACAAAGTTCTGTACAGGGACGCCCGCCCGAGGTCCAAACTCTCATTCTTTTACCGTCTTTATTCGAATGAGCGCCCAACCTCGAATTAGCGCCCACCTCGAATAAGCGCCCATCCTAAAGGCAGAAAAAGTTAATAAGCGCCCAACCTCGAATAAGCGCCCCCCCCCCATGCTCCTGCCAATCAAACTCACATAAGCGCTCACCCCCACCCCACCCACTTGAGTGAATAAATTCTAATAAGAGACTTCCACGAGGACAGAGTTTTCTTCAGAGTATTTTACAGAAACCTTGCTTTGTTACTTCCTCGAGTTTTGTTATTAGCATTTATTGTTTTGTTGCAAAATAAGGCATACTTCACTTGCTGAAACGGGTGAAAATTTAATAAGCGCCCAGCCTCGAATGGGCGCCCACCTCGAATAAGCGCCCACCCTCAAGGTACAAAAATTTAACAAGTGCCCAGGGCGGTTAATCGAATAAATACGGTATACACCATTTGTGGCAAAAAAGGTACCCCTTTCACACACCCAGTCAAGAGAGAATAAGTTCATTCTCTCTTGACCCAGTTTAGAACTTAAAATCCCTTTTAACTGCTGTAAATGCACTGTCTTTTAAATGTAAATAAAACACGAGATTAGAATTTTTTTCGATTTTTTTCAGAGCCATAAAATCCTGCTGTAGGCATTTTACGTCATTTGACAGATCGAAATGACAGATCTCTCTACCAATTCATAAACTTAACTAGTGAAATCCCTACCCTTTCATCGCCCTGAAGCCTAAAAAAAAAAATACCCCTTTCGGGCGGAGCCTCTCCGTATAGGCCACAAAAGGGAGTACCCTCCCCCCCCCGGTTAGCAATAAGTTTCCAGTTCTGACTGAAGCGAAATTCAGACTACGAAAATGCTCAAACCCCTAACAGGGGGCTAAATACGCCAACTTGCTTACAAGAAATAAAAGGCTATCGTCAATTCGACCTACAACCAGTAGAGAAACAAAATCAGTTGTTGGCCCAACAATGTTACCTCGTTTGCACGGAGATTAATACCTGCTGATAAGATCGTTTGATGCATCTGCTTCCAGTTGTGAAAAAAGGAATAGTTTCCCTTGATGAATAGCCATTATCACCAGCAACATTCTGATATGCCAACCATTGCAGAGTAAGTGTTCGGTTGCCTTCGGTAATAGCTGTAGTGGTTGCAACACAACCAATAAATCTAGAACAGTAACAAGATAATACAAAGGCCTGATTAACAACATGTGCAAAAATCGACAAATCATATGCATAAATTTTACTTCAAAAGTGCTAATAAACGAAAAATTCGGAACGAATTATTAGAAAGCTCTCACCCATCGATAAAAATCTTTTAGTTTCGCATCTTTTTTACTCGAAAAATGTTCAAGTGCATTTCAAATATCGTGAAACATTTAAATTTAACTGAACTGCTTTCCGTTCCGCTTCTCTTAGTTTGGAAAAATATCATTTTCGTTCTCTCTTATGTGACTGGATTTACGAGCGCAATGCAGCAAGTGTATACGGGCCTTTAAAGACCAACCCGTCGGTTAAATAAATTGCTGGTTTGCACGTGACGTCACGGCGGCTATGTCGATCGTGCATGGAGAACAAAACCATTTCTCGACCTTTCTCTTCTTTGAGAACTAATCTCCATTTTAGTGTAAATTCTTCGAGACAAAATTCAGACATGGCTGCCTTGTCACGTGGTTGCAAACCAAGAAATGCTGATAACTAGCCATCTACTTAGAGAAACAGTCATTTCTCTAGTTTTATTTATCTTTACCCCGCTGTGGTGATATTTTTCGTCCATGTTACCGCAACACTATAGATAGGAGACTTCAAGCGCAGTTGGACTCGGACCGTTCCAGAGCCAAAGGGAGGATCAATCTGGAATGCTTTGCATTTGTAAATCTGACCTCGCGAGACAGTAATAGGTCCAGATCCAAAAACCATCCCATCTGGGGGAATTGTCCCTGAAAAGAGAAATGGATACAATTTGCTTAAGGAACATTTCCACGGACTATAGAGTGTTTTCACATGACGTCACGGAGGCCATGCATATTGGTGTCCCAAAACAATTTAAACAGCAGCCATGTTGGTGTCCAAAACCAATCCTGTGGGAGTTGAAGTCCTTTCCTATGCTAATTAACGCTTTCTTTTTTGTTCCAATAAATTTGCATAGATGCTGGCCACGTGAGTGAAAACACTCTTTAAGCTCATTTTAGTCTTCGGAAAAAAGTGCAGTTGACGCGAAAATCCGATTCGGTCAGGCGGAAGCATTGCGGACGACGTAAGCTCAGCTTTTCCCCCCTAAAAAATGGTGTTTTTCCTAGATGAAACCTTGTTTCCTGGAAAGTTGTGGAATAAATAAACTTTAATGTTCGGCTTTCTAGCTTCAGAAATATGGAACCTACGTTATGAATCCAGAGTAAAACACGTATTTGGTAAATAATTTCATTTTAAAGTTTTATTTTTCTTCCAACGGGTCCGTTCTGTATATATCAATAGAACAATACAGTTGGGCCCTGCAAATCTTGTAAAATCTTCGTGGAATGAACGTACCTCTAAAAATCCTTAAAATTTAATCATATATTCAATTTCCTTCCTGGAAATACGCTATCCTTGACCTGGTTTTCTCAAAGACACTAGCAACTCATTTATAAACTTACCTTCGGATACCGAACATATGGCAGAACAAAGAATGAAAATAGCCAAAATGGCTCGCAGACAACCCAGGGAGGACCCAAGCTCTGACGGCAACATAACGAACAACTGAACACAGCAAGAAAAGACCAAAAAGTGCACCGAAGCAGTAAAAATCTGCCTTTAAATGAATGATCGACAAAAAAACACGTGCCATGATTGACACATTCCGCTGGTTCTCGTCAAAAAATTCAAAGGTGTCAGAGCCACGAGTTTTAAAACACATAGCAAAGTTTCTGGAAATCACCGACAATGAAAAAATATAATGGGACAATTAATGTACATGCAAACATAGTTAATTGAGTGGAATGGTTATGAAACCCGTCAGACTCCTTTGTTATATGTTTTTGTGGACCTGAAAGTGCACAACGTTCAAAAGAATTCCTATCATTTTGATTGTATTGACCAATAAAAACGTTGCATTGATTTATTCCGTAACAATTTGCCAACAGAAAACAAAGGATTGTGCACTTTCACGGTGCTTTGAACATAAACTGAAGCACTGTTGTTTTTATCATTGATGTTTGCCGCTTTTCATAACCAGTCTCCTCTAAAAACTATGATGCAAATCAAACGTGATATTTATCTTTGCAATACTACAAGAAAAGCCACATTTATTGTAATTTTATTGGTTTTAAAAATGTATCCTTAATCTTAAAAGGCTTTAGTTCAGGAAGGATTTTACGTATATGATACTTGTTTACGTTGTTTTTTCGGCCCCCACTGCATCTATTCAAAAGAGACTATATGCAGAAAATCCCGTGCGCACAAAAAAGTAACAATCACACGAGAGTGAAAATTAATGTGCCGGATCATGCGTTCTTGAATCAAGCTTATTTACAAACAGCACAATTATTTTAAATTGTTAGCAAAGGCGCCGCGTTTTTGTGCTAAGAGTAGAACAAGGCGCTACAAGCTCCATAAACCAGGAACTGTTTCAGTTGTTTCAAATTTACTATACATTAGGAGAAAAAGTGAGTTGCGGTTTCGCTTTCTTCTTTCATGTTTCTTGATATCTTCCTGCTAAACTGAATGAATACAGCTTGGTTAATTCCAGCCAAGAATACGAAGAAGAGGATCACTATTACTACAACGGAGATCACGAAAATTACGAAGAAGAAAGTGACGGAGAAAGATCATATCGACCACGACGTCTTCGAATACGAAGAGGTAATTTTACAAGCATGCGAAGATTCTTTCATGATTCAAAATTTTTCGTCGAGACTCGTCACAGGCCAATTATAAACTAAACATCCATGGAACTGACGTTTTTCATGTAAATATAAAAGTAAACTATTCAACTGTTACCCATTTGTGAATAAAAGCCTCTAATAATTAATAACTCATCGCCAATCACAGTACATTTAAGACAAAATTTTCTCAAACTTTGGATCACTATTTTGTGAAGCCAAGTATAAAATTAAATTTCCTTATAGTTTCCAGACCCGTAGCATTAATGTTTCACTTATGACCCTCAGCAGAACTTCTCCGTTCTTGGTGGTTTAAGAAATTCAAGACTCGTAAAAATGATTTCAAAAATTAAAGATAAAATTCCTTTACTCTTTATAAACTCTTCCGCGTGATAAAATTATTGAAGTTCTTATCCAGCGAAAACGTAATTTTCTTGCATTTCCTGTTGATGGTTCAATCAGGGGCAAAACGTATGCAGCTTGAAAGCCATTTAAATGAAAAAAAGAAGGTCTACTATTTTTGTATTAGCCCCCATCTCTTTTGGTTACGAACGAGTTGAAATTTCCTGATATCACTTATTCGCTCTTCCTAACACAAAGCTCTTTATTTTGACTCCACTACACAACATCAACAGACAAAACGTAATGGCAAATAAGTTTATTTTGGGACGACTTGGCGAGAACCAACCCTACAAAGTACTTATGTAAATACGATAATGACAATAATAAGTGATTACTGGTGAATACCTGATGTACAACACTCGTAAACTAGCTTTCACAAAAAGAAAAAACTCGTGCTACAAATGGTCGCTCTTGACCTGAATCCCCCAGTTAAGCACGCAGGCTTAGTGCCAGTTAGGCTGCCAGTTATTCTGGGGAAACTAATTAATAAAACTCTGACAACATATAGCTGGCACAGGGAACATGGTAGGAGCACAGAGGCTAAGCAAAAAGAAAATCTGCTATAACTGGTCGATCTCGACCTAAATCCCCCAAATAAGCACGCAGGCTTAGTGCCAGTTAGGCTGGGGAAACTAATTAATAAAACTCTGACAACGCATAACTGACACAGGGAACACGGCAGGAGCACAGAGGCTAAGCAAAAGAGAGATCTGCTACAACTGGTCGATCTCGACCTGAGTCCCTCAAAGAAGCACGCAGGCTTAGTGCCAGTTAGGCTGGGGAAATTTAATGAAACTCTGATCAACGGATAACTGGGACCGGGAACATTTCAGGAGCACAGAGGCTGAGTGCCAGGAAAACTGGGAATTATCTCCACTAATGTACCCAACAAGGCACGTAGCCAAATAACCAGTAAGGCTGCCATAAAAGGCTAGGGCAGGACATTGAAAGTAAACAAATCGATAACGACCCTGGCTAGAAGTCTGTAACATTGCCTGCAACCTAACTGCATCAAACGAGACTTATGTCGCCTCCTAAAGAGCGGTTCCGGGACAGCTGACCTAGACATACATAGAAACTAAATATATCAAGTCAAGGAGCAGGTGCAAAACTAAGATAACTGTCTAAGTACATAAAATAAGAAACGGGAAAAAACTGAAAACTAGCAGAGCTGAGCTATCGCTTACAAACTGAAGTAAATGCGGTCAGACGGAGGCAAAAAAAATGCGGGCAGGAAATCTGGGTAGGAACCAAGGCTCAAGCTCAAAGCCCTTCCTACGGGACTTAACAATGTGATCGAGAATATGTTGCTCCTAAAAATAAATAAACCAAAAATAAAGAAAAACCAAAGAGAGGGTGGTTCGTAAGCCTAGATGACGTACACATGATATACGCAGCCTTATATATCCCCGATATGGCTACCCACGGTGCACCCGGCCTAGTACCCAGGCCCTGTTGTATCTCGTGCCGTCAAAATATTTATTTCTGTCTTCTTCGCGGGCTCATTCGTCAGAAATAACATTATTTCAGGGCTAAGGTGCACCATTTCTGACGACTGTTGATTTTTTATTCTTTTCTCACCCTTGACACTGGAAAACTTAAACGAATACAAACTTCAGAAAAGTCGTTCTGTAAAATCCTGTTATCTGTTCTGAGAGCGTCCAAGCGGCCGGAAATTTCTGCCCCGCTTCACAATTCATCACTTCATTTTCATTTGCACAATTGTTCCCTGAAAATTCTCAATGATGGCCTAACCCCTAACATCTGTTTGTTTCCTACAACGCAGACCAAGAGGCTGAATACGATAATTATTATTCCGAAGAGGAAGACGAAGAAGAAAGCGACGAGGAGGACGACCGCAGACGGCTTCGCCGAAGGAGAAGAGGTGAATATAACCTACATAACCGGCAATTTATGAGCCAAATGAGGGGAACGCGGTATTACACGCGAGGCCAGGAGAAAAGGATCTGTTGGCGAGGCCCAAGACGGAGGAGAAAGGGCCTGTTATGCAGAATAAGGTCGAAAAACGTTTTAAATCAAATAATCAATATATATGTTAACTTAGTTAACTTAAAATCTTCATATATTTTCAGGACGTTAGATATTCGGAGAAATAAAACAACTGGTGACCGGGCATTTAGCGTAGACTGAACCAAACGCATACACTTTCTTACTAAGTTTTTGTTGTATTTCAATTCTGGAAGGAATGATTGTAGCTCTGAGTACCCGCTCTGGTACAACTGTCCGTCGCTTTTGGACGATGCTAGCTATCAAGTGTGATCCCCAAACTTAAAGCGCTCGTTTATAGCTCATCAGTTTAGTCCAGCTGTTTATTCTGAGTAACATAATGACGTTATTGCTAAACCATCTAGCCTAGGAGGCCTTATCTGATAATGTTCAGTTTTCTCTCTTGTCAATAGAGGCTCAACCCAGCCCCGGAGGTCTTTGTTACTCCAATTCATCGTTTCCCGAAGAAAGGAAGGATGCAGCCTCGGTTTGGAGCCAGGATATCACTCAAGATGGTTTTAAAATAATGTTACGCGAAGTTACTAATTTTAGTGGAAAGCACAAGCTCATTCGAGTTGTAAGCGCTCTTTAAATATGCATTTTAAACCTTTCTTTAATTTGCTTCATATTCAAATGTAAGGGTAAAAATACAAGCTAATGAGTAAGATTGAAGTACGATTGGAAACCTGTGCATGGAAGTAAATGGTCAATATGTGTCAAAAGGGTCGGAGTTTACCAAGTGTTTCATGGTGTTTGATGCAAGTAGAAATAAACGGGTTCTAAGTCGTTTCAATTGGGCAAACCTATGAACAGTTTTAAGAAGGAGTGTCTACAAAAATATTAACTTTTTAACAACTTGCCATAAACACATTTGGAGCTAGTCACCATAACTATCCTACCGCCGACAACCCATCACCCCCATAGTTTGACATTAACCTTTCTTTTTTCTCACAGCAATGGATCGCTCTCGTTACAACAACTCCAAAGGGATGGAAAATGCCTGAAAAATCAAAGATTATGCTTAAAAACACAGGCCCTCCAGAGAAACGTCTGCAATACAGTTTCTGCGAGGTGAAGTAGTTCATATAACCTTTTTAGCAGGATAAAATGAGTATTGTTGATTGAAAATTAGCTTTTGCCCTTAGAACCATTGCCAGAAATTAGGGACAAGATGGCGGTTGCGCGTGCGCACTAAGGCCACAATGGCTGCGAATTCGCATAAGAAAATGTATGGAGATAAGGAAACTTTTTCAAATATATCGATTATGAGCTCACGGGTGTTCGGTGCACGACTCGAAACATGTTAAGTGCTGTGTAACCTTCGCATCTGGGTTAAAAATAGCTAATTAGAAGTAGGTTTACTTACTTCCCGAAGTGGCCACTTTTATCTCTCGTTGTACGCTCCATTTCTCCATACATTGTCTTAAAATCTTGCCGAAGTCATGCGAAATACTCGTCGATTAGAGGATAAACCCTTCACTGAAGTAAATTTGCACGACTCGATATTACTTCTGCGATGGAAGATGTTTCCAAAACAGTCGTTAAAAGGACGATTTTTGCAGTGGAAGATACTTCCAAAAGGCGCGTTATTTCCCTCAGTTTTCCATCTGCAGTCCAGTAATGGACGCCATAGTTGCGAATGACACATTTCGGTCGGACAAAGCTTCACAACTCCAAACCTCACCGAATCGCCATTTTGTTTGTTGCTAAAACTCCAGAGATGCTTCACGGGATATAAACTAGGTTCCAGGCATTCAAAAATCCTCGATTAGCCTACCAGGCTTGGTTTTAAAACAAAATTGTCACGAAAATGTCACGAAAATGTCACGAAAGGTACATCCGCGTACTGTTTTGTTGCTATCAGCCGCTCGGCCGAGTATAAACCTAACATTTTCTTGCTAGACCGGTTTTATTCCAGCTTTTTTCCTCGTAAAACGGATCCACAGAGCTCAAATTATTTAAAAAAATCGCAGGGGATACGCTTTCCCTGACTACGATCGTTTTTGTCCGCCATTTGGAAATGAGATTCCGCTGACAATTAATCACGGGCGCGAAATGTCCACGATTTCTGGCAATGACTCAAAATATACTCTATTGACTTAGAGTTATAAGCAAAGGTTCTATGTACAACTTATTTCGCAGAATGTTGCATTCAAACAGCCTTTTTATCAGGCTCCAGTTCTTCTGCTTAGCCCAAGCCACAAATTTAACAGAGACAACTTGCAGTCAGTTGATCCTGCAAATAACGCTATTACTTCATGGGTAGAGGTAAGTATTCGAGGCGTTTTCGTTCTTTTTTTTGTTTTTCTAAGGCTTTTTCACACTTGGTGCCCGGCCTCGACATCGACACAAAATGCCTCATGCTGTGTTCAGACGACGGGTACCCGATATTGTACAACGCAAATGCTTGATTCTTGCAACTGACTCAGAGGCCATTTTAAACTAAACGTCTCGAGGAATTATGGTTATAGTAAGAAGAGGATTGTGGGGTCAAATGCCTCTCGGAACTAGGGCAAACCCACGCGCCCAGGGTACCCAGAGCCCAGCTAAGTGCTGGTATGAGTGCTAGTCTTGATATGTATGCACAAGACATACGTGTAAATGTCATCCCAAACTGATTATTTGTTTTCAGAAGTCTTTTCGTTAGGACCTCTTTGCCCTTATACAAACAAGTTTCCTGTCAGTATGATCTGAATTTGCCAGTCGTCTCCGTCCCCCCCCAACCACCACCACTCACCACCCCCGGGGGTTAGGTGTAGAGAAGGAGTTGAAGACGGTTGACATCTCTGACTAGTTTCCTCTATTATTGTGAAGAATCTTGACACCATTGGATTCACGGCGTGTGTGAAGGATTTGCAGCCGTTCGATCAACACCATGATCCAATAACTGTTCATTACATCGCTTTTGGAGGTAAGGAAATAAAAGATAAACTTATCTACGACAGAATAAGCCTTTTATCTTCCAAGAAAGGGGCACTATCGGTGCACTGAAGCCCCTTGCTCTCATCCTCCCTTTCTTCATTTTATTATTAATACGGACGGCACAAAAGTTTTGGTATTTAGCCAGTGGGTAAAACACTGAAGCCTGAAGATAGGACAATTGCACGATTACGTCATTTAACTAGATGGCCTAATGTACGGGAATCCAAGACAGTCTCCACACCATCGATTCCGGATTCCAGGTACTGGATTCCGGACCCTTTGTTGGAGGAACTTGGATTCCGGATTCTAATCGTAAGAGGGATTCCGGATTCCTCGAGCTGAACTCCGGATTCCACAGCAAAAATTTGCTGGATTCCTTTATATGGAGCGAGACTAGAAATTCCAGAATCCTTCAACTTCTCGGCTTCTTTTTCAACGTTGGGATCGATAGATTTGACAAAGAGAAAGCAATGACGCAATAAATTCTATTATTTCTACCCAAATGTATCTTGAAAATGGCCTATTCAATAACGTTAACCACTCCTTTCGCTTGTTACAATGTCTTTGTATTTCTTTGAGTCTGTGAATGAAATGCGGCTTATGTGTGACCATTCAATGAAAATTACTGAGAACTTCTCCTTTGCGTTGTATGGAAATTTTAATTTTGTGTGCTTTTCAATAAAAATTTAACTGAGGTGTGTGGTCGAAAAAAATTCAGTGCTTTCTTATATTGCTGCTCATCATCGTATACAAGGAGGTCAGTCTATTGAAAGGAAATTTCACTCTATAATATGCGCGAATGATCCCCATAATTAAGCCATAAAATAGCTGACAGAAGTATGTTTGACAGCATGTCATCGTCGTTGATAAAGCTTTCTTTCTCTTTAGATCTAGATCCTTGCGATAAACTTCAGTGTTCATTTTATGCCAAATGCAAAGCCTATGGTCCATATAATGCTTCCTGCGTGTGTGACGAGGATTCCGACATTCCTAATTATGACGACCAGGTGTGTTCGCAGGAGAAGGTTACCTATCAGAATTCAGCATTTTTAGAGCAGGAGTCGTGTTTGAAGAGCAGAAAAATTAAAGTGAAGCGTCCTGGAAGTTGTGAACGTATGTTTTTTATTAAAATAAACGAAGGGGAGAAATTAGCTATTCAGCCATACTAGCACGTTCATGCAAGGGCGGGAAAGCTGCACCGGCAAAATGCGCTGGAACGTTTGGTAGACTGAAACAAAGATTTTTCTATTGCGTCTACAGGTGACTGAAGTAAGCATTTTAAATTGGAATTTGTTCTTATTTTTCAGCGTTTTTATTTTACCGAGGTCGCACCTTTGTTTATCTTGGAAACTCTGAAGCACATTGCCGACAAGTAACACTTGAAAACTCCATTTTCCTCACTCACAAGTTTGTTCATGTTCAGCTGGCGTCCAACTACTTTAACACATCCGGGCAATTCACACAAGCCGCGGGAGCCTGGGCTGAAGAAGTTTTAGCTTCAAAATTTCTTGTTTGCGTGCTCACTGCTGGGAGACTCGACCGCTTACCTCCTGACGGCGGGCTCACTTTTGTGGATTTTGTATTGTATCAAGGGAATCCATTGGGTTCAGTAACTGGACACGTGGTTTTGCCAAGTTGGTGGGATGGTACAACGTGTAACGAGGTCAGCTTGCCACAAGTACTATATAGCTTCAAGTAGTAAATGCATGCGACTCCCCATTTTGCCCAAAAAATCAGTGCCCCGATAGATAAAGTTGATCCATAGAACTTAGAGCACTTTTCCACACGAAAATGGAAGCTCCCCTCCTTCTATCGGAACGCATTCCAAGTATAAAATATGAAAAAGCAAAGCAAAACGTCATTAAACGGTCAAAAATACCATTTTCCGGTCTGTGGGTTTTGCTGACTGGTTTGTGGGACTTAAAAGATATTTTTATTACGCGCCAAATTCGTTCTTAACCCTTTCACTGCCAAATGTGGCCAAAGGCAAATTTCGTCCAAGTTTCCAAGTTTCATTGAATAAAATCTTGACAAACAAATAGCACCATGTGTAAGTACAGGCAGAGAGCTTTCATTTGAATGGTCACATCATAGGATTTCGTCCACAGGCTCAAAAGTTAGTGTCACCTTACAAAACTCCATCAAACACTCTGGCAGTGAAAGGGTTAAAATGACTGGTGCGGTGACATGCTATGAGTACATGAAATTTGCTCGCTCTCGGTTGCGGACTCTTGCGTACGGGGAATAGTATGTCCATTCAAGAGAGAAACAGCTCATTCACCGCTCCCCTGGTCCACTTCAATCAGCTACAATATTTTACGCTTGAGTCTCACTTGTTCTCATCTGACCTCTGTTATTCCAAAGGACAAGTTTCCGCAGTCACCCTACGTTCTGGTGTCCAGTAAACATATTTACAGTGGTCGCAAACATGACGCTGCAACTGTCTGGGCAGAAAACATCGAGAAAGGGAAATTTACCGTGTGTTTGCGGGAAATGCAAAATTTTGATGGCATGCACGAGAATATAACCGTTGTAAGTATTTCACAGTTTTGTATACGTACTGACTCACTCAACTCCCTTTAGTTATAGTCGACGTTGTAGGGACCTCGAGTTAGTTTCCTCATAAGCGAGAGTCTGTAATACCGTTTTTTTTTATAATACAGTCAAACGTCTACTTCACTGTGTTTATATTTGTCTGGGATTTAGGTGCTGTGCGTAGTATTCTGATCGGGGTGTCCGTTATAGAGAGGTGTCCGCAAGGCGGAAGTCGACTGTTAATAAATTTGGCTGCTGTTTAAAACGTAGACTGCAAAACAGTCGATTTTTTCTCAAAATCAGTAACTCGCTCTCTGTTTTCAGCCTCATTGCAGACCTTTTGTTTGACTGCTGGCGCGTATTTTAATACGCAAAAATACGGACTGTTTTGCAGTCTATTTACCAAGTGGGTCAACCTTTTTTTAAGTCATTTCTTCCTTAAATTTCCTCAAGAGTTTTTTCGGGTTTTGTTGTAAATACAACGATTATAAAAAATAAACCCCCATTGCAGGTCAGTTATCTCAACCTTTTTTGTCAAGAACTTGGCTCAAATATACAGATACTGGACATGGCGATGTTTCGCCGTTTTTACGTGTAAACATTGTAGAAGAGACATTTGCACCCTTGCGTTATTTCCCTTTTTTATTTCTTGTTTTTGCTGTAGGATTGGATGGCATTTCTTGAGTTACCAGAGGAAATGAACGCAGAATGGCATAACGTTACATTTACTAATAATCCCGGACCCGAGTTATTAAGTGTAACTAACTACGCATTTTGCCTTGTGAGTCGACTCAATCAGTGGTAAAATGTAATTCAATTCACGGAAGGCATCGAAAAGAAGCAGGCCATAGCAGTGCTAATTACTGGCCTGGGGAACAAGCTTTTAGTACAGGGGTTGGTCCTCTGTTCTTATTAGGGTCTATCAGTAAGACATTAATTGATTTTACGAAATTTTTTAAGAGCCGGAAAAGTATAGTAAACTTACTCGCGTGGTTTCTTATAATATCTTTCCAAAAAAGTCAAAAAAAGTCCTCCTATAGCAGGAGCCCATAGGGTAAATGGGCCCTTGGTCATAGCTTGTGCAAGTTAGAGTTCGCTCATAGTTCTTTTTCTCGACTAGATGAAGTCTCTGTGCAATTCTTCTTGTCACATTGCATTTCATACTTCAACCTTAAGAGCAGGGGAGAGTCATGCGCCTTTGTAGTTCACTGTTCTAGCTCGCTTAGCTATAAATGATTTCAAACGGTCTTTCTATACAAATCACTTTTGAAATGTTAAATTTATCTTGACAGACTGTCAGCTTAACCTCAATTTTCTCGGAAGCACCGTTTGTAATCGTGTCAGGTAGTCACAGCACTCATCACGGAAGAATGCCTATTGAACACAATAGTATTGCAACATGGGTTGAGGTAAGAAGAGAAACTCATTTTGTTATATATTGGGAAATTTTTCCCAACAGGGCGCGCTCTCATTGGTTACTTTGAGGTCACATGACATCTAACAATGAAACTGTTTTCTGCCAAAATCTCTGAGCGGGCAAAATCGCAAAATCTATGACGTCAGAGGGTAATGTTACCCGCGAATTTTGACGGACGACCGCCGTTACAGGAGGTTTAAGCTTTCCCCACCCTAACCGCAAGCCACACAGATGTCTGGTTAGCTTTCTATTAGAAGAGCGCCCGTCGAATAAAAGGTCCTGGTTTCGAATTCTGGCCAGACCACCAAACAGGGTCTTTGAACTGCATCATGTGGCACCAAAAGAGAATCCGTTAAGAAAGAGATTCTTCCATCTTAGTCTTTAGGATTTTGGTTCAACCTTTCTTTGCCAGGACATACACCATGATCGGTAATCGCCGCAATATGTAAGGCGTTCCCTCGTACCCCCTTTTAAATCCACATAGACACTGACATTGTTCCTCGTTTTCCCTTTACAGAATATTAACATGTTCTATTGCCGTGTGTGTATGAAAGAGTTGCATAATCCTACTGGCTATGATCCGGTGTCCATTACATTGCTGGCAATAGGTAGGAATCCTTACTGGACACTATATATGTCATCCTTAACCCTCACCAACCAGCTTCTAATAGGATAAGGCCCTTCTTGGATGTCAGTTGTCAATAAGTAACCCCCTACACACTTTGGGTATGAGAATTGGTGATAAGAACCCACTAAGTTTTATGAGACATAATGTATGCTATACCAACAACTTCTGGCCAAAAAATTGAATCCGATGTGAATTGCAATTGAAACCTCTTACCAAGTACCGGATCCAGACCTTGATATAAGGGGCGGTCATCCAAATTCTTAGATAAGGGGGGAGCCCGGTCTCCAAAAAAAATTTTTTTTGGCCCTTCGGGCCTCAGTTTGGTCTTAAAATAAGTCGCCCCGGGCCTCTCCCCTGGTTCCGCCACTGCCTAGGCTCGATTTCCGCGGCTCTCTCTCGGTCCTCCCCAAGAAGAGACTGTTCGGGGGAGGAGCACGAGCTCATTTCCCGAACAGCGACTGGTATTTGAGCAAACCTTTATTCCTAAACACCTAGAACCTCGCAAATCGATTGAAAGTCTTCGCGCGAGCGAAATGGAGTTTGTTAGTGCTGGTTTTTAACGGGGAAGACCAGACAAAAACCACTTGGAACAGGGGCGAGAACCGACAACAAACTCCAATTTAAATAAAGATATGATCGTCGCAGTGGTAATTGCAATTTAAGCAATTGCAAATTAACCCGAAAAAATTTCGGGACTTCTTCGACTCGCATATGGCGTCCACGCTGGGACTTTGACCCGGGCCACATTTGGTGGTAGGCGAGTGCTTTCATCACTGCTGGCCACCCTTACTCCTCAAGTTTTGATGTTATTCCTCAGTGGACGGACTAATAAATACGCAACAAATTTAACGCGCATCACTTAACTTGCTTGTATCTTTTAAAATACCCTTCAAGCAGGCTCATCCCCAGGCTTTTTCGTTTTCCAGACGGCTGCCCTCGAAGAAACTTATAATGCGGTAACATGGTGAAACCAAGTAAAACGAATCCTTCAGCTTGGGATCGGAATCAGAATGCCGGAAAATGCATATTAAGTTGATTTAGCTTGACTTGTATAAATAGTTAAATTAACTATAGCTTGCCTATATTTCTACTTCCAGGTTCAAGTGTCAAATAAAACAAAGGACTATTGAAGTCATCAGAGAAAGTCAAAGACCAGTATACATTAGATTCAAGTGTCGGATGAATTAAACATGCAAAATGGGTGAAATTAGATGTTTGGACAAAGCTTGACATATTTGAATTGAATTTTAACCTACATTTTATGTACAGGCTATTCTTGGTTTGCATCCACGTGATAAGGCAACCATTGGTTGAAAAAAAATAATTGCCAGAATTTTGCATGATGCCAGCAGAGGGTGACTTGTTACAGGTGTTCAGATAGTGGGGACTGCGCACGCTCGCTACACAGGCCATATCTCGATAAGAAACGCTTACTACCAAGAGAGATTTATCTCTTGTTGCTACACAGGCTGGATGGGAGCAGAAGAACAGCGAGGGGGCTGGGGTCCATGCATGTTACAAGTATAAATTTCACTGTAGGGAGCGAGAGTTCCCTTCTTTCTCCCTCCCTCTCTTTCTCCATTTTTTCCCCCGCTCTCTGACTTCGCGCTGCACTCCACTTTCTGAACGCCTTGAACAGGCTAAGCCGAGGTTGAAGCCAATCAAACCAGCAGTCAATTAAAGATCTCTGAAGGATCTAATCCTTTATAAACTAATAAAAGAAAATTATCGTGTCAGTGGTTATATATTTCTCACTTTCACCTGGCTCGTTCTACATTATACGACAAATTCCTAGGCAAGAGAAAAGAGAACCATTAGAAATGAGAAGGGGACTGAAGTAGAAATGCTTCCCGCAGTTGCTTGTTGGACGCGTCAGTCACCTGTACCGTCGGCTATTGGTCAATTTTTCCAATCCTTAGTAACAGCCCTAGAAGTCTTTACGAGAGTAATCTCGGCCCAGTTACCCCAAGGCGAAACGCAATTTCAGTAATAGCCGTTAGAGAGAATGTATGAGAACCGCTCAAATTGGGCCTGATCTCAGGTTACGCGAAAACGTGGTAGCCGTCGTCACCGTACTACGAGTTTTAGCGAGAATGTCGAAGTGGGGAAAACAAGTTATCAAATGTTAGAAGTTTTATCATTTTGTGATCGGGGGACGGTGTAAGCTTCACTAAAGATAACAGTCCTAACTTTTCTAGTGAAAAATAGTAAAATGAAGCTTTCCGGGGAGTCTATATTTTGAGAATATGCGAAAAAACTTTAAGTCAAATCTCGTACTCGTACTCTTCCTCGTCCTTAAAAATCTAAAGGTCTCTAATTTCTCTTCACACGAAGGAACCGTTTGGGACAACAGTTATGCAAAATTGGGGGGTTAAACCAGGTGTATCGTGGATAATGTAGAAATGGTGATTTGCCAGCATGGCTAGCGTGGAAAGACACACAACTGTTTTCAGGGGCAGGGAAGCATGTGACTGTTGCCGTGGGAGGCAAGACAGGCACCTTTTGCCAGGAATACTGAACAGCTTGAAGACACGAGGCCGTAAATGCGCGATTGTTTAATCAACCTTTTCTGCGTCTGAAACACTCGCACGAGTTCTTTTTTTTTTTTTTACAAGAAATAAGACGAAGCGGGTTTTTTAATAAGAGGGTCTCAATGGGGTTAACCGATAGGCGTAAAACGGCCAAAAATTTAGTCGATAGCCGTAAAAATTGAAAAATTTTAACCGTTAGCCGTAAATAGGGTAAAAAAAAAGTTAACCGTAAAAGAAAGTGTTCCCTAGATTTGCTACTTTTCAGGAAGGTACTAAACTCACTTATGACACTTATGGTTGCGTTTTTTTTTTTTATTTTCCGGCTATTTTGACTCCGTACGCACGTTAGGCTAGGCGCCTTTTAGGTGTTGACCTAGACCTAGGCTCCACTTCCGCCGCTCTCTCGGGGAACTATTTTTTTCCATAGCGAAAGTGTGGCTTCTTGCTGGGAATTCATATTCGCGATTTTCAGAAGGTCGTGCCCTCGAAACACAACCTCATCCCCAGGGCGCTTTTTCCTGGTTGCTCGAAACACTAGTGAAACAACACGCAGAGATGTCACTGTTTGTAAAACATGTTGCCGATAAACAACATTTCCCTGTTTTTCTCTGACACTACGGTAGACATTGCCATGCCTAGTCCCGGTATGGCGTCTTCCCACGCCATCTCGATCAAGGCATTTCGGTGGCGAACTCGCTCGGACCACGTGACCCGAAACGGATTAGATGTGCGAAATAATGAGGCCTATGACAAGGCAACGGCAAACAGTCGTACCGTATAGTCCTTCGCTACCATTAAAACACTGGACACCAGAATTTTGTTATTGACCGTTTTCACACTAGATCCGTCTAGATCCGTCTGAGACTAGCCTGTGTACAGTCGCCCCCTTCCCGACAGACACCTCTTCTCCGATTTTTCCTGAGGGGGCGGCTGTACACAGGCTATCTGGAACGGATAATCCCGTCTTCAAACTGTCCGTCGAAATTGACGGACAAATTCAGGCAGATTTTTCATTCAAAATTGAAACTATTCCATTTTCAAATTAAGACGTATTACCTATCTGACGCGAATCATCAAACGGATAACCCGTCTCACAAGAATAATCTGTCTCTAGTGTGAAAACGGCCATTTCTGTTGTAATGAATGTCGCGTGTGTGCTTTGCTTTTTCACAAAGATTATTTTTAAATTGACTATTGACATTTCTATGTGTAAAGTAAAATTAGACGTGGAATACTTTAGATGAAAAGTATTCAAAAGAATAGCTTATTTCATCCCGAGATGATCCTAAGACCTTTATTTTGCTTTAAAGATACCAAAAATACAGGTTAATTAATATTTAACTTTTTGAAACAAAAGAAGTTAATATTTAACTTTTTTGTTAACCGTAACTGAAAAAAATTAACCGATAGCCGTAAAAGAGCCGAAATTTTAGCCGATAACCGTAAAAGCCACCACCCCATTGAGACCCTCTAATAAGTGACCGATGAGATTTCCAATTGATCTTCGCGCTTTTGCAGGCCCTGTACTTCCGTTTAGACCCTAATCAGGTCGAGAAAGGCTCATTGTGGACTTGCTTTTGTACTTGCTCCATTTTGTGAAATTTACTGAGAATATAGGACTGCCGGCCATTTAGTGTGTTGAAAACCTTGACCGGTTACCGGCCATATAGCCATAGCGTTTTTAATAACTCAGTGAATAACTGGTCCATAAGAGGGTCTTCATTCAAGCAAATTAAACTAGCCAATCGTTAGAAAATACAGAAAAATACACATAAGGGTATTTGTTTTGCTCGCCTCGGACAAATCCAGCTCCAGCAATTGTTTACGGAAGGAGTAAATTGTTTTTAAGTCACTGCCGGCAGTTGTCGTTCTCTAACTTCACAGCGAGAGAAAACGAAAATTTGCGTACGGAAAAATATTTCTTATAAAGAACAGAAACTTTCACAGTGCATTGGAAAACAAAACTATGTAATTAAAAGTGGAGAAAACTCAGACTACTATTACTTGAGCAACAGAAAAAAGATCGAAGTAGTCTTTTCTTCTCGAGTAAGCTTACTGGCCCTCTATTTCGGAGAAAGTTTTACGGCGCACAAATGGTTCTTTGACTGAAGAGAAGCCGGATAAAGCTGGTTCTGCAAAGGGAATAAATCTGGGCATGTGAAAAAGTATTAACTAAGTAATCAGAATACAAGCGGGTTTTAATTCAGCCCGGCAAAAGAAGGCGAAATCAACTCACAAATAAATCGAATGCACAATCAGAAAAATACTCGCCTCTTTGAAAATGCTCAAAACTTTTTATTCCACCTTAACATCGGTTGTTCAGACTCCAAAGTAATTTTCAAGTGACGAAGAACAAAAGCCACACAAAGGTAAAAAGGCTTTTCGAGAAGCAAACATTCACACCTTGTGCATTTCATTCAGTCTCAGTCAACAAACAAACACAGTCGAACCTGCGATAAGAGATGCACAAAAGATTGCGCAGAACGTTTTTCCGCCCTGAACTTTTCATCAGCATGAATACCGGCTGATACAAATGATTTAAGGTTAGCTGTTTTTCGATTTTATTGCAGTTCTGCAGTCATTTCTTTGTAATATAAAAACGCTTGAAATTGTCTTAGTGTCAATATTCCCATTGCGCATGTTCGTTCGTAATCTTCTGCACCTGAATCATTCTGCAACAAAGAAAAATATATGTCGCGGGAGTGCTCTCAAGTTAAAATTCCTGAACATTATTTTCTTTTAAACTCAAACTACAAGCTTTTCATTTTTTCATGATAAGGTTTTGGTTTTAACCATATTTCACTCTAACATTTCTATATCTACTGATAATATTACTAAAAAACATTGCTCTATCAGATATACCGTATATGTATTATTGTATATACCATTTGTCTTTCCCTTTTTATCTGCCACAAAAGAAAGGAAAAAAACATTTACCCACCCCCACCCACTTGCAGTCTCGGTCGGCGGTTTTTATTAGGGAGCTTATAAGCAAAGGCGCCTAGTTTTGAGAGATGCACGTCAAACCGGAAGTGATAACTTTTCCCTTTTAATTGCCTTTACTTGACGATACCAATTTTGAACTACTTAGTGTCTTTATCCTTTTAGAGGCGATTTGCTCGAAAAATGATGAGCAAAACCACAGCCCAAATATGCAGAAAGTCCACTTGTGGTTGGCGAGCGTCGCTCCAAAACATCTTTACTTATTATTTTCTCTATTTTCAAAAGCCACGCGCGCTCGACGAGCTCTGAGAGGAAAAAGAATATCTGTAAACAGGCTATATCACAGCAGAGAGTTCAAGCAAAAGCTAATAAAATGATGATCTATCATTGCTGTTTTACAGTATATGGCCATTATTTTAAATTAGCTATATAACTGATGCGCTCAATGACTAGCTAAGAATTTCACGATCAGGCGCGGATCCACACCGGTTTCTACCGTTTTATGAAAATCGGTCAGATTTTTCATAAACAAATAATCTTTTAATAAAAAAAAACTTTCCGAGTTTAAATCTGGCCAATATCCTGTCCGACTGACTCAGAAACCAAGGAAAGAGGACTTCAGAAAGTTAAAATCCACAAAATATTCCCGTTTGCTGCAAGCTCCGGGATCCCCCTGAAAGCTAGGAACTCGGTCAGTATTTAGGATCCGAGCTTGCACCTGTACAGTTTATCTGTTTCTGTTCAGTGATATAAAATATTATCTGACAAGTTTAATAAAATAATTTAATAGTCCATGCTTTAAAAACAAGCCGATTAGAGATAAAGGATATTTTTTTTTTGGAAATACGTCAGAACATCAAAACACGTCAAGCAACTTCATTTGATTGGCTAATAAAATAAAGGTTAGTCTGGGTCAATAGTTTAGAAAGAAAAGGCTTTCACTATTCTTAGTTTCGCATAGCCGATTCCTCGATCATCGACAACTTCACCTACAAAACTTTTATGTTTGTTCTCGACCTTTTCCAAAGATATGAAGACCTTGCTGCACAATCTTCATCATGAAGTATCCTGTTCTGTGTGCTTGTGTACATTCACTGATCCAAAGCAGTTGCCTTGTTTGCACAGTTTCTGTCTTCATTGCCTGAACGGAATTCAACGAACGAGCGGTGTCCATGGCAAAATTTCATGCCCCGAGTGCAGAAGACAGTTTCAAATCCCTGGAAGTGGAAATCCCAGCGAGCTTCCCACCAATTTTCGTATCAACAATTTGCTAGAGGTCTTGGCAATAAAAGAGTGCAGCACAGCTAACGTGAAATGTGGAAACTGCGACAAACGGAGCGCCCAGACCTTATATTGCTTCCAGTGTTGTTCTTTCTGGTGCGAGGAATGTATTTTAGGACATAACATGATACGCATCAATAAAGAACACAGAACGCTGGCACTGAAAGATTTTCAAGATCAAGACATCGAGGCCGTGTTAAAGAGACCGCCATTTTGTCAGAAGAAACGACATGAAAAAGAAGAGTTGAAATTCTTTTGCAAGGACTGTAAAGTCGCCATTTGCAACACTTGTGCTGTAACACTCCATGAAGGTCACGGAAAGATGCTTTTGGAAGAAGCTGCAGAAGGGTGCAAGACTCAGATCAACTCCATGACTCAATCTTTAATAGAAAAAGTACAAGAAAAACGAAAATACCTCGAGCAATTGAGCCAAAAGAGCGAGGAGATTAAACTGCAAGCAGCCTACTTAAAAAGCCAAGTGCAGACGAATGTAGATCAAGTTCTTGCAATCATCGAGGCGAGGAAACAGGATGTTTTTGATGCAGTCGATAATCAAGCGAAAAAATCCCTGAAATCTCTTTCACAGAAAAAAGATGAAGTTGAAAATCAAGTGAAATTAATTGAATCGACTCAGATCAACTCCATGACTCAGTCTTTAAAAGAAAAAGCACAAGAAAAACGAAAAGAACTCGAAGAATTCAACCAAAAGAGCACGGACATTAAACTGCAAGTAGCCGACTTTCCTCAGTTTAGTTTTACTAAAAGTGAAGAACGGATTAACGTGTTAAACAGTAAAGGGATAGGTAATGTAAAAACTGTTTTAAGTGAACCTAAAGCGCAACAATCAGGAGCTAAAGGTAAAGAAAGTAGTAAAGTAATTGCTGGGATTAAAGGGGCAAATGTTCGTGACAGTCCTCTTGAGACTCAGGTACAAACCAAGCGCTTCAGATCTGTGCCGTCATTTGGACGACAAGGTAAGTCTGTTGGAATGCTTAACGCCCCCTGGGGGGTGGCAGTGAATGATCAGGATGAAATTGCTGTGACTGAGTTCTTGAACCACAGGGTTTCAGTGTTTAGTAGTGAAGGTAGCCACTTAAGATCGTTTGGTAGAGTGGGTGAGAATGATGGCAAGTTCCAGTTCCCTAAAGGGATCGCTTTTGATAGTCTTGGCAACATTGTAGTGGCAGACAATAATAATCACAGGGTGCAAGTCTTTGATAGGAATGGTAACTTTCTTGGTAAGTTTGGTGAACAAGGAAGTCTTGATCACCAGCTTAGTAACCCTGTAGGTTTGTCAATAAACGGCAATGGTGATATTAATGTTGCTGATAAAGATAACAAACTAATCAAGATATTCTCTTCTAGTGGGGAGTATTTACGTAAATTTGGAACAAGTTCTTTGGTCCTTCCCTATCATTGTATCCAACACGGTCAATATTTTATAGTCTCAGATTACGGTGATAATTCCATCAAAATGTTTAATCTGGAGGGAAAGTTTATTTCTAAATTTGGAAAACAGGGGAACAAGGATGGAGAATTTCGTGGGCCTTGTTACTTGTCAGTTAACAAAGAAGGATTACTAATGGTCTGTGATGAAACTAATCACAGAGTTCAGGTATTTGAACTGGGTGGGAAGTTTGTGACAAAGTTTGGAAGTGAAGGTAGTCAGAGAGGAGAGTTCAAGAATCCACTTTCTACAGCAAATCTTAGTGATGGAAGAATAGTTGTGTGTGAATTTGATAACAACCGAATCCAGGTATTTGAACGTAAATGAAATAATCCAGCCTGCGAATACAACCATCTCTCCTCCCTCCTCGTCGTTAGGGACATTTCGGCGGGAAACGTCTCTGCCGCGAAACTTTCTAATATATAGCGGCGAGGAGCGCAGAGGAGAGTCGACTGCTGTATTCGCAGCGGGCAAGAAGTAATCCTACCTTTGATGGAGTAATACTTGAGATTCAGTTCACTATTATATATTGATCCTTAGATCCACAGTTCATGTCTCTGAAGGAAATCAGTTTTATGCGATTATATTGTTTAGACGTTTTGCTCTGTTGAAATTGGTGTATTATGTTCTACTTGTAAATATATTTTGCCCATAAATAATATGGATTTCCACGGACTCGTAATAGCTGAGTTTACGCCTGCCCTTCTACACTGGCTAAATAGTAGTTTCACTCAAATTTTATCCCTAGGAACTGTTTTGAGCTGTTTTTATCTGCTCATTTTTTGATTCCATTTTGAGAAATTCTCAACTTGAACCTGACGTTTGCCGTAAACGTGAAGCTTGAACTCTCTATTACCTCTATTTTATTTACACGCCTAAATGCAATACCTGGAAAGAACTGCAGTATATATTGACTAGATCCAATAAGAAGCAATTAATTGAGATAATTTTCTCTTACATTGTAAGCCCACATTATTACTAATTTGCAAATACTTATCTTCATAGCTAGAAATATTTATACTGTTTCGAAAGTTTGCTTTTTGAATGTGTTTTAAGCCCTGTTCAATAGCGAGAACAGCTTGAGTGACTCACAATTATTTTAAACTAAACAGCTTGTTTTTACTTACCTTTTTTCGGTAGTAATAGACGTACATATTTCTCAAAAAGCAAAATGCCATTCCCTGTCAATAACTCAAGTGGATTACATTTTGTCTAAATAAACAACAGTGTAAATGCTTTGTTCCTTGGATTCAATGTCTCCTAATGGTCAAGGGTGGAGCAATCAAAGCTCGCAATCAAATAAATGCGGTTTACATGCCTTGAAACTGATGTGAGAAGTTATTCAAAAAAAGTTTATTATGATCGAGAGTTTGTAAGACAAGCGTTCAAACAAATGAGCCAATTAGAGTCAGGGAATTAACCAATTAAACTATTTCGTGATTGCAGGTTTTATTGCAACAATTTTTCTAATTTAAACTCCTGTTTTTGTTGTATTTGAAAAAACAGGAGTTTAAACTAAAATATTGCATAAGTATATTAAAGAAGCGGCTAAAGCGTCTTCTATCGACTCGTATCCGTTCCCCTAGCTGAACTAGTTCGTGCCGCATGAGGTAACACCATTGCTCTTCTTCTCTTTCCTCATCTTGCCTATTAATTTTAACCACAACTAAAACGACAACAGTTTTTAAAAAATTCAATTTGAAAATAATTTATGACTGTGTTTAACACTCGTCTGATAAAACAATAGTCTCTTTGCCGAATAAATACAAAGTTCTAAAAAAAAAAAGGATTTGCGTAAAGCAAATTTTAGCGGCGTTGAGAGTCCCTCCTGTTCAATGATCGACCAGAATCGGTACACCTTTCGTGGACGCGCCTTCCTCTACCTCTAACGAGTTACTTCTTGATCTCACCGGACACGTGCACACCACTGACATCTTAACGCTAAAACGTCCCTAGAGGCCAACAGCGAGGGGAGACGGCTGTGTTCGCAGGTTAGAGAAACCAGACGAAGTGCTGTAAGTCTAGTTCAGATGACAAAAAATAGTCTTCGTTACTTACATAGTAGAAGTTTGAATCACTCAAACTGTAGCCGTTCAATTTAAAAATCTACTGAATTGAAAAACAAAATGTTAGTCGATGTAAACTCTTTGTACGGTTCGTGCGAAATAAAAGTTCTGATAACGTGTTGAAAATATATCATCAACTTCTTTTGAATATACACCGAGGTTTTTTGTAGAGGTGAGCGGCGTTCAATAGGTGACTAATATATATATAAGGACGTCAATTGGACTGAGCCACTATTTTTAAGTTATCCGCCAATTATGTTCATGAAGCTGCTATACTCGCTTATTTGCTTTAAGCTTTATTTTTGCACAGCGTGTTTTCAGCTTATATTAGCTTCACTGCTGACAAGTGAACTTGAGGTGAGCGAACTAAGACCAATTAAAGCAAAAGAAGTTCTTCCCCTCCCTCCCTCTCCCCTTCTTCTCACGTTTTATAAAGATTATCTCTTTGCCCTTACCCACCCCTCCATTCTGTTCCTAGGCTACCTACCCATTTCTTGACATTTGCGAAAAGCAGAAGCCTGCGAATCGATCGTCTATCCTTTCTCCTCTCTGGTCTTGGACGTTCGCCTAACGACAAAGAGCGAGGGAAATGAGAGAGCTGTATTCGCAGGCTAGAAAAGTAGAAGGTCAACAGTAAGTACTTGCCTAATATGCCGGTTTTGATAATGATCACAAGAAGTTTAAAGGTAATCACTTTATACATCCTGGTACAAGTCGCTTTGTTATATAGCTGGAAATTTCTTCTGAACAGCGCGCAGTCTTATTGGTTGCTTCGAGGTCACATGACATCTAACAATGAAACTGTTTCCCATCATCACGGGAACAATGCAAAAAAAAGACATCAGAGGGTAACAATGCAATCTTACCAGCGAATGTTGACCGATGACCGCCGTTACAGCGAGTTTTAATGAATTTCCAGCTATATAACACATCACTTAAAGACTGGTCCCTCAGGAAACAGTAAATTTTGTTTCCCTCGTGACCAGTCATTAAGTGTTTATCATTGTTGTGATCGTTGCTGATTGAGACACGAAACCTCAACTGACAACCTCGTTGACTGCTACCGGGGAAGCGGGATTCACCAAAATTTAGGGCGCGGGATGTAGGATTTTCTTCCCCCTCTGTCGGGAAGGCGGGAAATCGGCGGCAAATGCGATTCAACAAGACAAGCGTTCAGTTGTGTCTCCTACATCAACTGAGCAAAATATATATAGTGATCCGGTTAATGATTGTCTCATTGAAATGTTCAAGTAGTGAACAGACGAGCTGAGCGGACAGAAGAACCTCTATTTCAACCAGTAGTACCAAGAAAGTGCCCTTAGTGCAATGACATACTTTTCTCTATTCTAATTAAAAAACGCCTGATCGCAGGTTACCTTAAGTACATTCATAGTTTTGGTGTCGTTCTTTCTTACAGCCACAGCTGAGTCTGCTAGCTCCAGAAAAGCCTATTCCAGGCGCCAGACTGAGTGGGGACGGCGCAAAGAAAAGCAAGCAGAAAAAAAGAGTTGGGGGTAGGGAAAGAGGGGGAAGAAACCCTCCCCTCTTTCCCAATTCCTTTATTTCGCTTTTTTTCCCTCCGTTCTATTTTGCGCCACCTTGGAACAGGCTAGCCTCAGAAGTAACGGCAGCGATCCAAAAAGACTAAATTTTCTTTATCCCACTACGCAACGAACACAAAGAGCTGTAGAGATTTCAGAAGCAGTTTAAAAACTTCAGGGCGTTAAGGTGATGTTACACGATGACGATCGGCGCAACGAGGATTTTTAGCGCAATGCAGCATTACAACATATTGCTGCGAGGTTCAAATGGTTGCAACATTGTTCCAACATTCCAACACTGTGTTGCGCGAAAAATCGTCTTTGCGAATTGTCTCGTGTAACATTACCTTTAGAGGAAATCACAAAGAGTAAAGTGAACGAGTTTTCAACGAGAACGCAAGTTGTGTCAATATGAGTTTGACACACTTATCCAGGTCATCCAGGGAAGCCGTGGATGCTAGCTACTCGCAGGTATTCGATAGTAACTACTAGATGTCGGTAGGCACACGTGCTGCACGACCTATCACGGTTAATGTATGGTGCTCTTTCATCGTACTCCGATATAAAAAGCTATTTGTCTTATGGAATGGCCTTGGCATCGTAAATCGTAAGGACCAATCTAAATCTTACATTTGTTAGCTTTTGTAGCAAAATTAGTCTTCTCTAACGTACGTCTCGGGTTTCGATACAAAACACAGGATACGAAAAGCAATGAAACGTAAACAAGTGCAGGATGCGGGATTAACGTGAAATAGTAGCGGGAATAAGGAATCAAGATCCCCCCTTCCCAACCCCCTTCCAGTCCCTGGAAAAACGGTCATTCGAGAAACACTAGTTGAATCAGGAAAATTACTCTGGGTTTGAAACTACCAATGAAAGCTATCATGTCGATCAACTTTTTTTTTAAATTTTGACTCATTTAGTGTCCGAGTGATCATGATTTGGACGATTTGGTGTGCACGAGATCCCCACCCCCACCCGTTTGCAGTATCGGCCGGCGGTTCCAACGAGAATATAATTCAAAACCACTTAAACATAGCATTGATCAACGTATTTTCGCATTTAAATGGTAGATATAGGCATATTTTTATCTCCTAAAATTTTTTCCTCTGTTCGGATTTCCTAGCTCAAAGTCTAGTGATCCGAAAATTATAGGGACCCAGCCAAGTCCCTAGGCGTTCTCGGCTCGGTCAATCCTGGACTCTACCGTGAGCTGTGACGGCCCCGAGAGACACTCGCTTTGACAACTGGGCAAGAGAGAACGCCTAGGGACTAGGCTGATAGGGACCAAAACTTACCTTTTCGAGAATTTCAGCCAGAAAAAAGGCTCCCGAAAATTCTAGGTGACCTTTTTGGGGTAAAATTTTCCGTTAAAAATGGGCAATTATACCATTTTTTAGATGTTCGAAAATCCTAGGAGAGGCAGGCAAGCAAGAAATGTTACAACAAATGTTTCCGAAAATGCCAGGTCTCAAATCGTCTTCCGAACAGATATTTTCCGAAAATTGACGTTGGGTGCCCCTGAGGGAAGATAAACTGATATCAGAAAATCATGAAGAGTAAATGTATTGTTTATTTTCTCGTGCTGCCGGAGTAAAACTTTAAAATACACAACCTACAATGTTACGTACAAAGGTCATAGTGCTATGGTAATAGAGTGATTTTACTTGAATCGTGAAATAGGTAGTACAATACTACACACTATTATGAACTAATTCTGTTGTCTTCTTTTGTTTACCTTTCGCTATTTGCACGATTTGTTAGTAACTGTTTCACAGTTCCAGTAAAACCACTCTAAACAGTCCTTATCAATGCCAATATATTTTTAAATATAATACTTGTATTTAAGACAAAATAGCGACCTAAGGATTTGACTACGAGTATAAGAGCAAGAACGTTTTAGGAACTTTGAGGAACTTTCATTCTTTTTAATTGATGATCAGCAAATAGAGAGTCTTAAAAGAAAAGATCTGTTTGACAAATGATCATCTTAAAAACTCGAAAATTCCGTCAAAAACTCTTACTCGTAGTCCAGTCCAAAGGTCCCTTAGCGTCTATGTAGCTGTTTTAGGTCAATACTGTGCTGAAGTCATAATTTACTAAGTGCCTTAAACCATTACAAAAAATGTGACCTGTGGAGTTACGAAGATATCAAAGACATTTCATGTGAGAACACTATCCATAGTATTTTAATATTATTATTTTTTCAGGCATTGCAATAAAACTTGAAAAGGTTGGCCCAACTTTTTTTTCAAGTCTCAGTCCATATCCATCCTTACCATCCGTTGAAACAGGAGACAGTTCCAATGCTTCAATATAGTCTTAAATAACAACTCATGCAACTAATGCGAGAAAACATTTTAGCTTTTGATAGCAAAAAGCGTGAAATAGCTCCTTAAAAAGAAGACGACAATTACCATCGACGAACAAATGCTTGAATATTCTACAACAACACCTTTAACAGCAGGGATCATTATACGTGTCTGGGAAACTGCCCACCTACCCCTCGCCTAAGCCAACATTAACTTCTACTTCTCACTCAGACAGTTGTAGGGCAAAATGTTGGCTTAGGGGAGGGGTAGGTGGGCAGTTTCCCCGAAACGTGTAATGATCCCAAAGGGTGCTTGGTACTATTTAGCACTTAACCGCCCTTAAAAATTCATTCGAAACTTTTCCAATTCCTGGGAAAAACCAGCTAATTTTTTTTTTTTTGGCACTTTAATTTTTGTATACCCGATGCAATTCTCTTTGTTTCTGTTGCGGGATACATAACTTAGTTGTTTTCTACTGGAATCAAAAATATATATCAAATAATACTCTTGAAAAATATACATTAAAAGATATTCTGAATATGTACTTTGACATAGAAGGTGAATAGTTAAATATGTATCAATTCAATTCAACAAATAATAAAACTCGGTCGCGTAAAGACACGCTCCATCCAGTCCCGACCCACGACTTCGTCTTGTAGCGCTACAATTTTGGGTTTATCTCGGTGTAAGAACCTGTGAACTTTTTCTTTTTTTCGCACCTTTTCATTTCCTAGGTTCTATTGCGCCGCCTTCTTTGATTCCTTTGTTTTACGTCACTCCTGAGTTTAACAGGTCCTTACACTGATGATTAGCCACAATTTTTGGAGATACTCGTACTCTAATGCTTGCCTTAGGGTAGATTTCCCTAATTTAATTTTGAATTTAAGTGTTCGTATCTACAAATTTACGGTTAACAAACAGAGAGATAGTCATGGAAATATGAATTCTTCACTGTTTCACTTGTCCAACGTTGGGGATGCTAGATAAGTTAGAGCACCCATTAGGTTTTCCGGAATCTTGGATTTTTTGAAACTCGGAATTCGGGATTTTAAAGCAAAATCGGGGAGGGATTTTCGTAATTGCCAAAAATAAGCATTGGGATTGAGGGATTGCACGAAATTTTGGGGTCGGGATTACGAGATTGAAGAACCCCACTGGGGAACCTCACAAGTGAGGCATTAGGGTTTCATTTTTCTTCCTTTGGGGGTGCTAGAGGGGGTGTCAGCGGCAGCAAATACCCGGATGACACCACTTTGCCGATAGTCTCTACTTGAAATCCAATCTCGTGTAAATGACAATGATCCAAAATCATTCGGCCATCAAAAGCAAAGGCTGGCTTAAGCATACTGTTATAAATACGCCTGTAGTCATACGTCTGTGAAAAAAAGTTAAGAATGATTGTATATTAATAACTCGAAAGTACTCAAAAGTGTTAACTTATTGGATTACAAAGGTTCATTCTCTGTCGTTCTGCATTTTTACAATAACTTAGCGATTTCTCGTGCACTGATTGGTCGTGATCTATGATCAATAAGAGTACAGACCATGGAAATGGACGTGAAAAACTGTCAATGCTATTAGAGATTCTGGGGCGAGGAGGACAACGACAACGAAATTTCCTCAATACTAAGTAGTGTGCGCGCGTGAATCAGCGTCATTTTGGTGACAAACTGGAGGGGAGGGACCGGAGACACTAATTGACAGGAATTTTCTACAATATGTCCCTCCTACATGTACCTCCGCTGTGAATCAAATTGGAAATAGAAAAAGACAGTGGATATCAAATCCCACTGACTCAAAATCAGTCTCTCTTGCTCAAAATTGGACACAGGATCTACATTGTAACATTGGTCTCAGAATCGGAAACGATATGACAAAGGAAAATGGGGGCAAGATATCCAACTCTGTGTAGAATGTTGTAACAGAATCAAGTCGTATAGAGGATAATTATTCAATGACACCCGAGGTACAATTTAGTTCCATACGACATTTTCAAGACCATTTGATGGGTACTATTAAAATGTACTATACTCTGACCTTGAATTCGTCCCACTCAGTACAGACCACTAGCGCATGCGCACCTTCAACAGCCTCGTAAGGATCATTAACAATAGTAATCAGGCGCTCAACTGAAACAAAAAAATAAAAAAGGGTTGTAAGTGGTGAATTTGTTTAAAATAACCAAGTTGATGTTTTAAGGCTAATAGCTCTAGGATAAATCAATGAAAAGGTATGCAAGACAAAATGCTTTGGTTTTCATGAATTCATCAAATGTTAGTTCTTTAAGGAAAATGCCCGATCAGCTTTTTATTCTAGTTCTTTAAGGAAATTATTTTGTGAAGATCAACTGGATAATGGGACTAAAAGGGTTGAATAACCAGATAGAAATGACAGTCCCATCACCAGACATAAAAATACTCCCCTCAATTATTACTTTCATGCTTACTACACTGGCACTTGAATAAAGTATTTTACTGTTAATTTACAATGTATAACGGCCAATGTTACCTCTCTGTGGATCTTCTGAGATAGAAGGATGTGTCAGCTCCCTGTAATAAATTAAATATACAGTAAGGTAATAAAACTGTTCGTATGGTCAAAGAAAATGCACTGTTTAGTTTCCGACTTTTCTTGTTACCTGTGTAGCATGAGAGAAGGCTCTTATTTTGGCTGGAAGGTGGGAATGAAAATTGCACTTGGCAAATACAACAAACAATCTGAGGTCACAGGGAGCCCACTAGAACTGTCCTGTTTTCCTACAGCCTGCATAACAGGAGTTATTTTTTCGCGTTTTTCAGGCGAGCAAAAGCAAGCACAAGGCAGGCTTGGAGCGTGAGACACCCATGATGGGGAAGGCAAAGAAAATCATTGCCTGTCCACACACCACTGGTGCCTTCCCACATTGTGCGTGTCTGGCACTCCTTGCTCACTTTGCGCTGTGGATCTTCGCTCCCCTAAAAAATGCGAAAAAATAACACCTGTTATGAAGGCTAGTTTTCCTATCAATAATGCTCCACAGAACTACTAGCTTGCGTAGCAAGCGCTTCCATTTGATTTCGCAGCAAAGAAAGACCGAGGAATGGGATTTTTGGTTTTGGCCGAACAGGAAATGATATGAGAGCCAAAAAATGAAAGAGGGTGCCGTTTTTTGCGCGGTCTTTGACTGTCGTTCCTCGTTCTTCGCTCCTAAACAGCACGGAAATGCTTGCTATGCAGGCTATGGAACTACTCAAACCACAACGGACACGAATATACTTACAAGATGATCTGATCCTTTTCAACTTTAGGATCATAAACTGTTATCCTTGCCCCTTCATCCATCAGATATTTGCAGACATAAATACTTGCAGACTCCCTGTCAAATACACATGCACATACATGTTGTGAAGACCCCTGTCACATGCATAGGGCATGCAAACATAAGGATGAGCCTCAATCACTTATTGCCTGGCAATTTTGATGAAAGTAGCGATAATCACATGGAATATGAATTTGGGAAATGAAAAACGTATTTCAAACAAAGAAGAAAAATGGTATGAGGAATGGGGTGGGGACCAGGGTTCCTCTAAACAAGGACCTCTATAAAAGGCCGGCATATAAAGGTCCCCCAGGCTACATTTCAAACCTGTCATTTTGCACCTAAAGAAGGAAGCCATGTCCTTGCTGGTACATGTACATGTACATGTTTTTTTGCCAATGTGTTTAATTTGAGCTTGCCTCCATAAATTGTTATGGTAATGTCAACCCATCTTTGCATCATTTAAGTGTCTGTTTCAAGCTCGCTTCCAAATTAAAGCACCGAAAAGCTCATAACTTGATTTTATCTGGGAGATTTGGTGACCTGTACGGCAGACCAGGAGAGTTGGCATGTACGCAACTGGGGCCTGGAATCAACTCGGGAAAAAGGGAGGGGGAAAAGAATTGAAATGATTTCAGATTTAAAGAATGAACTCCAACCTAGTGTCTCCCGTGTTCTTCTTAAAGGCAAATCCAAACAGTGCTATTTTCTTATCAGTCACAGTGTTAAAAAGACAGTTAACTATTCTGTTGGTGAATCGTCGCCGCTGATACTCATTCATGGCAATCACTTGGTACCAGTAAGCGGCAACTTCGGGTAGGTTAAGTGCTTCGGAGAGGTAAACAAGGTTAAGAACATCTTTCTGAAAACAACTTCCTCCAAAACCTAGCACAAAAAGACAATCAAGAATGAATAAAATGAATCGCCTTTGGTTGTTGCAGTCTCATGGAGTAATAAATAATTTACAGCAATACCATTGTTACTGAATATTATGCAATTCGATCAAGCAACTAATGGAAATTTTTGGTATGAAGAATTTGTAAAATTTATTGAGCTTGATTATTTTGTCAGTGGCACCTCTATTACAAAAAACTGTTCTCTTTTCTCTGGAACAAATACATCTCTCTGTACATGTACAGGTGCACACATGCAGAACACAAATTTAAATTGGTTTTGAAATAGTGAGAGATGATTTTATCTAGTGATAATAATTTTTCATCCCTAACTCTAATCCTTTACTTTCAAATAGAATAATATTCAAGACTGACGACCGCAGACAGATATACATTACCCTGTGTCATACCATCCCCCCCCACCCCACCACCCTTTTCAAAAAATAACAGCTCTCAACAAATGCCTGATTGTTCTTTTTTAGCAGAATTTTTTCATATGCCTGCATGTGGATGTTACAGGTTAAATTTGATTTCAGATTAAATTTTTTTTAACCAGCTAGGTTGATTCATTCATGAATTAGGACTAGGAAACAAAGGAAGTTGAGAATAAACCTAGGTTAAATCAAAATTAAGCTGAAATAAGATTTGACCAGTAACGTAACATGGACATATAACTATGATTCACCCAGGATATGGAAATTGGCCTGTTACTTGTAAGTGCATTCAAATTTCTGAAATGAACTGGAATTTTAGCATTCTCACCAACTGAAGCTTTTAAGAAACTGCTCCCTATCCTAGAGTCCCGTCCAATTGCACTTGCTACTTCTGATACATCTGCACCAGTTGCCTCACAGATTGCACTCATGGCATTGATGCTAGAGATACGTTGTGCTAGAAAAGCATTGGCTGCCTACAGAGAAAGATCAACATGATTTGAGTACAGGACTCTCACTAACGTTTTCAGTAGCTGGTCTCTCTGGCCACTGCTCATTTATGCGAAAAACTCTCCTACATACACGTTTGTTATATTTGACTTATTTTTACACTTAGAGTAGCCAGCTGATTTTGCTGCAGTTGCCAGCTAAAAAGGAAGGCTGCTAGCCTGTGTAACCGGCCGGATTGTTATTTAGCATGAGCAAACTTAAGTTTTGGTAGAGGAACTGCAAAGCCATGCGAAAATGTGGAGGGGACGCTTTGAAATCCCTTCTCGAGCCTTTGGCGCTCACTTCTGTCGCAGCAGTGAAAAAATTGCTTAAATGGTACGGGACCTACTTATGTTGGAAGCCTTTTTAAAAATAGACATACACCGTACGCAGGAGGCGAGGGCTTGAATTTGATATAACCTAACTTTAATCTGGGTTCATCTTAATCCAACTTTGAACAACACAGCCCAGACCTGTGTTTACTGTAATTCATACATAGTACCTGCATGTTACACATAAAATGTGCAATGAACCCATTTGCTAGCCTAGACTACTATCTTTAGTTAAGACTATTAAAAGCAACTGAACCTAATGTAGTCTGAGAGCGATGTTTTTATAAGTAACAGAATGATCAAACTTTACCAGCTTGGAGAGTTCTGAAGACCACGTATTGGTTTTAATGATATTCTCTTTAGGAATCCAGTGCTCATAAACAGAAGATAAAGCTTCAATTGCCCTCCATCCCTCTCTACTTTGCTCACCTCCTGTCAAATAAAGAATGTCAATAAAATGTGTTTAAATTAAAAAGTATGAGGAGTCACACTCAAAAAATTTCTATCCGGTAGTTAGGGACATGTGGATTTCTGCTAGGCAAGTAAATTTTAAAGATCGCTTGCCAAATGGGCAAGGGTATGACAATTCATCTTCAAACAAAATCATTAACTTATACAAACAAAAAGTGGCCTGAGGGGCAAGGAAAATTAAGAACTGCTTGCACTACAGACAAGCTGGAGTTCAAGTTGTTCTGGCCCTACAGATTGATGAGAACATAATCTGATTTTGACAGTTACTAGAAAAAGAGGACTATTAATTTCTTACCACCACGAAAAAGGAATACACTTGACATAACAAATGACAACTACATGACTGTAATACAAACTGTACTTGCCAATCAAAACTCTGTCTGGTTCCATTAAGTCATTAATGGCAGTACCCTCAGCCAAGAATTCTGGATTGGACAAAACCTGCAAAATACAAAGTCACACAGTTAGCATGTTTGTTTGAAATGTTAGTTACATTCAGAGGTTTCATAATGGCACTTGGCCTTATATTCATGGCTGGACTCATCCAGCTAGTTCCTAGCCCTGCTTAGCCATACTGATCTAATAAGCAAGAGTTATAACATAGAGCATGTTCCTTCTAGTTGAATTTAGAAAAATTCATGCACAGGTCAAATATACAGAAGTATAATAAACTGACTAACTGCCAAGTGCCTCTGCAGTAATCCTCACACAAGATAAATGTACAGTTAGGGGGTAATATTAATTTCATCTTCAGTAGATGTTTACGTTAAAAAACCAACCTGAAATTTTCCTCTGCTTCCATTTGCTTCAAATATTCTTGTAATACTAAATAAATAAATATAACAAAGAAAATAAATAAAAATACTTTTGGTAATTTCTGAGAATACTTTTAAATGTAAAAAAAGTTGTAAAACATACAAGAAAACGGCAGCAATCATCTCACCATTTCCCTGAGCTACCTAAAAACATTTAATCCTTCAGATAGGTTTCTACCACTGACTATTCTTCACAGAGTCAGTGCCGGATCAAGACCTTGAGATGTGGGGGGGGGGAGGGGGGATCATCCAGACCCTTAGGTAGGGGGGGAGGTCTCCCCCCAAAAATTTTCGACCTTTTTGGTCTAAAACTAAGTGGGGGCTCAGGCACCCTGGTCCCCTTCCCTGGAACCGCCACTGGGTGTGAACTTATATTTGGACTAAGTAAGAGTGAAATGAGTAGGAATGAGAACTACATGTGGAACCCTGCCGACTAAAGATGAAAGTAAAATAATATTCAGAAGTGAGGATCGGGAATATCAATGCAAAGAAAACCCACTTTTGTGGCCAGCCGCGTTGGTATGGTGTTGGATATGAGTGAATGACTTCTCCCGGTTCTCTGCCTTTGCCGTTCATACTGTTCCAGGTAGCATTTACATTTTGATGTAATATATGGTGGCACAAAAAGCTATCTGGACAGGCTATAGTGTAGACTTGAAAGCCCTATGATTTCAAGGTAATGATAGTTTCTGGTACTGTGTTGTTACCATGGTCTTAAAATGATGGAGCCAAAAAATAGTTTCTCAGTGACATTTAGGGATCAATTCAAAGAAATTCACTTAATTTTTCCACTCAGATTCTTGACTAGTATAGCAGTTCTTTAGTCATGACTCGGCTTATAATATATGAAACTAAAATGTTGTTGGATCATTTTATGTTTCTGTGAAACTGCCCACCTACCCCTCCCCTAAGCCAACTTTTTGCTCTAAGTAAGAACTAAGTGTTAATGTTGGTTTAGGGGAGGGGTAGGTGGGCAGTTTCTCAGAAACGTAAAATGATCCATGTTGTTTAGCGTCTATCAGTTTTCTAATGTCTGCCATCATATGGCTTCCAGTGCCAAGAAAAAAATATATGATTACGAAAAAATGAAAACATTTAGGAGGTGGGTTCCATGAAATCCTAGGGCTTGTGTAGCCGAAACTGCTTTTCATGCCCTAGGTTATAAGAGGACCAATCAAATTGATGCCTGCCAACTGATACAGTACCTCTCTGCCGCTCTCACGGGCACTGTACTCTTCTCCACAACAATTTTTGCACCATCAGCAACCTCTGCAATATGCCTTGCAGCTGATTCTATGTACTTTAAATCTGGTGCTCGGCCCTGAAATATGCATGAATGTTTTTAATTAGCGCTCAGTGTGTACTAACGGCACATGATGTTTTACATCTTTCCTAAAGTATTTAAAATTCCAAAAGTATATTTCAGCAGATCATGGGTGGATAAATTCCATTTTTTTCCAAGCATGTACAATACACTATTCATATTTGAGGGGAAAAAAAGCTGCACCAACAGCAACAAAAAAATCAATAATTTTCATACTGCTTAGCTCAATCCAAAATGTTGTTTTTAAAACCTATTATATTTTTGTCACTATTGGTGGTTTGTCAGTCTGTGAACTTGAAGAGTTTATTTAGCTGCTCTCGAAAAGACAATTGGCTAAATGATTGTTCTATCAACAACTCGACTTCCCCCTGTGAAAAACAATGATCACTTGGACCCTGCAATTTAGCATTACAATAATTATAATGCCTTACAATTTTTACGAGAAATAAAGACCTTACCTAGAGCTAATAAAATTTATTTTAAAAACAACTGATAAGAAAATCAATTAATAGCAGGAACCATGGAGACAGTTTTGCAGGGCAAAAATTTTAGTCTTGTAAATAAAAGGGAGCCAGTTAATGAAACATTGACCACGTATCACCATATACATATTTAATTTACACCCAGATCGGACTTAAGTTATTATTTTTGTTCTTAGATACTGTTCTATTTTTTAGCCTGTGAATTTAATAAGCCCTTGATATGATATTTTACTGGTTCCGTCATGAAATTACACCGCAAATTTCATTAAAACTAACCTTTCCTAAACCAAAGGTTTTTGTCGGTGTGTTAACCTGCAAAGAAGTACGAGTGACATTAACAGCTGATTTTTTACAAAAGTCACAAAAAAAGGACGGAAATAAAATTAAGATAACACTATTTTGCGTAATGAAGAAAGATTTAGCAATAAATTTACGATCTCCTATCAAAATTATAAGAAGAAATGTACGCTCACACAAATGAATATCAAGTCGGCTTCGCGGATTGCTGAGTCGATATCCGTTGAAAAGAACAGGTTTCTGCCACGACATTGCTTAACAACATCATCAAGACCTGGCTATAAAAAGAATTTATAACGGTTAAAATCACATAAACACACAATATCAAGACAGTTTACAATTCCTGTTGCCGTGGCAAATTGTTCTTACCTCGAAGATCGGTAGTTTATCCGAATTCCACGCGTCAATTCTTTGCTTGCTCAGGTCGACGACTGTGACTTTAATCTCGGGACATTTTAGCGCGATAACGCTACACGTTGGACCTCCGACGTATCCAGCGCCTATACAACAAATTGCTCCGACAGAATTCACAGAATTCATTTCTTAAGTTTACGTGCTTCAAAGAGTGATTCAGTGGTGATTAGTTGTGATTCATATCATTGAGTCGTGTGTTTACTCAGATCTTTTACCACCGGGTGGTCAGCGGCATTCGAAGGGGGTATTCCTTTGCAAAGCGTTGATTGGTTATCTTCTGATTGGAAAGTTACAGGGGACTTCATCATCAGACAAGGATAAATTTGTCATATATTAACTTGTGCTGGAAGAAGAGATCTTTCAAACCATACCAGAATGAGCATGATTCAGAGAACGAACGCGGCAAAAAATCTATGAAAAGTTGACCCGAAAATCCTCATGAAAGTTAATTGTTCCATGACTGTACCCACCTGCTCGTCCTTTCTTCTAATCCTGCGATCCTAGACAGGCGTGGATCCACACCGGTTTCCACCGTTTGACGGAAATCGGTCAGGAAAGGGGACTTAAAGAAGTTAAAATCCAAACCTCCCCCCGAACCCCCTTAGAAGCGCCTTCGGCGCCCAGTTTGAAAATCGGCCAGTATTTATCCCAGATCTGCGCCTGCTAACAGCTTTCCCAAAGTAAAAGAAAGTAAAAACGGGTACGATGAGCGAATTGAAAGAAGAGGGGAGAAGAGAAAGGGAAAGGGAAAAGTCGAGAGGGCTGTGTCCCGGGGGGGAGGGGTACTTGCTTATAAAAGGCTAATGGGGATGTGCCGCTGGATGGGGTCGCATTTTCAAAAGAGTTATTAGAATGGCCTCATATTTACGATTAGCAAACGTACCAGAATGCTTGTACTGCAGATCATGAAAAATGGGTCAGTTCATAAAAATAGAAAGTGACTAAGTTGGGATCGCGAAAATTACATATTTGCCCAAAAGTGACTAACATAGGGTCTATAACTGGCCACAGAATAGGCTATAATGAGTGGCACATACCCAGCAAAATTTAACCCAAGTACCCCCCCCCAACCCCGGGGCTGTGTAATTTTTTAACCCTAACTTTTGCTTTCTGTGTGCATGCCCGAAGTTCGGAAACTCATATATTGCATCTCGAATAGCGCTCGACACTCATTCAAAGTCATTCATTCTTTCATTCTTTCTTTCATTAATTAATTTATTCATTTTATGTCTTTTTTTCTATCGTAAACTTTGTCAAAATCTTAAATCCTAAGCTATGGTATTACTGCCCTGAAACAAGTGACGATCAATGTCCTTGCCCCGGAGCATAAGGACCACGAGCGCAAGGCGTTAGTCAGTATGCCTAACAGTCACTTGTTTTCTCATCTTTTCATGTGTGCGGTGGAGCTGGCGCTTAAAGGAGCACTTTTTTCCTCGCCTCGCCTCGGCAGTCAACGATATGGGGTCGGGCACAAGTGAGACCTGTCCTGGTCCATTGCTGCCACTGCCCAGGTCATATATGGCTGCATGTGCACATGCGTAAGTACTGACCATACCACGAAGTTGGCAGTGTGTGCTTTAGGGCTGAGATTGGTACAATCATCTCGAGCTTGTTTGACTCTTGTTAACAAAGCTTTTCTCTACTAGCTTGCCTGGCTGTTTCTTCGTGAGCGTTTTTGCAGTTTTTTTTTTTTCCATAGCGCCGAACAAACCGCCAGCTACGCAGGCTATCCTCTTAAGAATAAAACAGTTTTCCAGCTAGGCGTTTTTCGGGCAATTCTTGTTTAAGTCGTATTTATCACGTTTGTTCGCTTTGGTTGGGAAAGACCTTTCTTTTATCATTGATCCAGTATCACAGAGCTCCATAGCCTGCCAGTAAGGGCTCTGCAGGGGGACGGGGTTGGGGGCGCCCCGAGAGCCCCCACCGGGAAGATTGCAAGCAGGACATTAGTCAACTTTGTTTGCAAAGTTTGGAACACTATAAACACTATAAAAACATGCAATTTCTAAAAGTCAAGATAGCAATAAAACAAACAAACAAACTATTCTAATTACGGTTTTTAAAGTAAATGTCAAGCAGGCTAGACGCTCCATAAAAGGTGTTTTGAATCTCCGGGCCATTTGCGAGTGCCATAGGGCCTTTGTATCAAAGTAAGTGCTCATCCTTTGATTCGGAAATGATTTTTCATTTTTAGGCCAATTAAACTCATTTTCACAAGAAAGGTTGTGGACTTGGCCTCGTTTTGATTTTGAGGGTTTTTGGGACTCGGTAGCCTGCGAACAAGCTCTCCTATTTGGGCGAGTGAAGCAAGCCGCGCAAGAACGCGCGAGCGATCGGCAGAGCCGCGAGAGGCCCCCCGCCCCTCGCTTTCACGTCTCCTCTCGCGTGCCTCTCGCGCGTCTGCTTTTCACGATATCCCCAAATGGAGAGCTTGCTCGCAGGCCAGCGACTCGGAAGTGCCGGGCCTATCAATTCTGGGGACGAAATTCTATAGCCGTTTAAAAATTCAAATTATATTAAACTATTTTGACCGTGGCTTTTTGCATCTCACAAAAAAAATTGATATATATATTTTCCACTGTTAGTTTAGCTTCGCATTCTTTCTTACAGTTTGTCGCCTTTAGGTGTCGCAGTGCGTTTAGCGTAGCTTCCGATTGGTTCGTTTTACCTATTTAAGATGCTGTTTTCAGTTTTTTCTCTCTCTCTCGCTTGCGACCTTAGCACTTTAGAGCTGTTTTCTCCTTCGGACGTTTAAGATCTGGCCCCACCCACCCTCCCTTTTCTCAGGTTTCTACGGGTGTTTTTTCATTTTATCTGCTTTCGATACTGCTTTTATTTCATCTGTTTTCAGGCGGTACTGGATGCTTACGTGGACCGCGCGAGGTGCTTTAAATGTCACAAACTCGGCCACTGGACAAGAGAATGCACTGCCTCCTGGGATAGCCCACGAAGTGCTTATCGCGGAACCACATGCACATTCATCCCAGGATGCCCATACAGCCCCTACAGACCCAGTCACGGAGCCCACACTCAACCCGGTGCAAAGCAGTAATGTTTTTGATGAGGAGGTTACTGATATCGCTCAGGTACACTGCGATAGCGAATTGTTTGAGTTTGAGTTAAGTACTAGTCCGCCGTGTGTCAACGTCAAGGGAAATCTTCGTAGAAACTTAGAAAGGGGATATTTGTTACCTTTCGTTAGTTTTCCGGAACCAGCGGTTTTCAAAAACAACAGATCGTCTCTTTCACATGCCGAGTTTGTTAAGGAGGCTATTCAGGGCTTAGTTGAGTCGGGTCGTGTTGTGGAAACCAATGTACCGCCCCGGCTGGTCAACCCCTTGTCCGTATCTGTTCATGCTAATGGAAAGAAGAGGCTTATTCTTGATTTAAGATACGTCAACAAGTTTCTTTGTAAGATGCATGTTAAATACGAAGACTAGAAAACAGCTATGTCTTACTTCTCGCGGGGGGTGCATATATGCTTTCCTTCGACCTGAAAAGTGGGTACCACCACGTTGAAATTTTTGAGTGCCATCAAACATATCTTGGTTTTTCCTGAAAGCATTCCAATTCCAATCAAGTGAAGTTCTATGTGTTTACAGTCTTACCTTTCGGATTATCGTCTGCCCCTCACGTGTTCACAAAAATTGTTAAGCCTCTTGAGAAACATTGGAGGCATCAAGGCATTTGCATTGCTGACGACGGATGGGGTATTGAAAAGGATCGATTCTCAAGTGTGCAGTATTGTAGCGGATGCCGTTAGAACTGACCTTTTTAAGGCGGGTTTCGTTACTAACGAGGATAAATCAGTGTGGATACCTTGCCAGAGGATTGATTGGTTGGGTATCACTTGGGATAGCGCTCGTGGAACCATTGAATTTGTGGATAGGAGGGTTGCCAAAAACTATTACCATTGACAGTATTATCGACTCCGATTTTGTTCTTTCTGCCAGAAGATTGGCCTCTTTAACAGGGCAGATAATTTCTACAGCGCCTGTTTCCGGGAACATTTCTAGGATCATGACTAGGCACTGCATTATGTCTACATTAAGCGCCCAGCACTGGGACGCGAAAGTTAAGATGGATTCTTATTGTATTGAGGAGCTATATTTTTGGAGAAACATTCTAAATTCCATCAAAGTGCGCGATTGTTTTCTCTTTAATAAGCCACACCGTTTCGCTTACTCCGATGCCAGCGCTATAGGGTGCGGTTCAATTATTACCCTTAATGAGGATTGTGTGTGTCACAAGCTTTGGGAGCCTTCAGAATGTTCTAAGAGCTCTACTTGGAGAGAACTTGCAGCCATTGAATTTTCGCTAGAGTCTTTTACGCCAATTTTGGAAGGTTCACTGGTCAAGTGGTTCACTGATAGCCAGACGGCGGCTAAAATTATAGAAGTCGGTAGCATGAAATTGGATTTGCACAGGCTTGCTATTAAAAATTTCAGTTTTGCGCGGAGCACTCTATTCGTTTGGAGGTGCAGTGGATCTCACGAACTGAAAACGAGAAGGCGGATTATATCGGTCGCCTTATAGATTTTGACGATTGGCAAATCACGCATGATCTTTTTCTAAGTTTGGAGGAGTTATGGGGCCCACATCCAGTTGACTGTTTTGCCAATTATTATACAGCTAAGCTTCCTAGATTCTTTTCGCGTTTCTGGAATTCGGGTACGTCAGGAATTGACTTCTTTGCCCAAGAGTTAAGTTCCGAGAACTGTTTAGTGGTTCCTCCAGTTTCTCTTGTCGCTCGCGTTATCCATTATCTGAGCCTACAGAAAGCAATGGCAACTCGTGTAGTCCCATTATGGCCTTCGTCGAGTTTTTGGCCTCTTCTGACTAGTAAATATCGGTTGTTCATGAAAGGATGCTTTACGCTGAATGCATCCCAAGCCCTCATAGATCACCCTGGGAAGAAATTTAAGTTCATTCCTTGGTTCGCCTCGTTTTACAGGCGGCGTTGTCACGCTTAGATTTGAATTTTTGTAGGGTTATCCAACCTTTATTGCCCTTCGAGTAGGTCATCCTGAACTAGCTAATAGACTGGTATTTGCAGGATTTGACACTGGTCATTAGGGAGCTTAAGCAACAACCTTTTTGAGCGACGCACGTCAACCGGAAGTGGC